ATACGGTAGGTCCGATAAGTCAAGTTTTCTGGGTTATTGCCGACTCACCCCATCCTCACCTCCCACCTTTGAAATTTGAAATTATCCAGTTCTTCGTCCCCTGTCTTGTCCGCGCTGGAGAAGCTGATGATGGCAAGGCGGGGAGCTGCTTTATGGCTTGCTGGCTGGTTGCAATCATGGGTCGGAATGATACCTGGTTGTCCGTTTGAGCTTGTTTGCGTACTAGGGTATGGCAACTCTCGCGAGCTTCTCAATGGCATGGGAATAGCACAGTTGGGTGTGATGAGTGCAGGTGGCCTTTGCACCGTCGAATGTTTCGCGCAGTACCTGTGCGGTAAGGTTGGGGTTTGCTGGGTGCCTTGATGGTGCAGACCCTACCGGCGTGAGAGATGCGACACGGGCTGAAATACCGCTGGTGCGAGACTGTTCTCGCACCCTGGTGGGTAGTCGAGTTGCCGCACCAGCAGACCAAAGTGTCACTTGATCCTGTGCTGTGTTGACTTAACTTATACTCCGCTCTGCGGCCTTCACTAGCGGGACAGGGATACTTATAGGAGAGATGGATTCGTCAACGCAGGGTAACGAAAAACTTGCTGCCGTTATCACACTTGTTGGGAATCCCTATTCATCGCGGGTGAAGGCTGTAAAATCGTGTCGGGTGGTAGACTATGTCGTTAGCAGGAAGGCCGGAAGAGCGAGATATCCAATCCAGACCGAGGAGTACGATGCGCAGAGTATTACCGTGGCCAAGGCAGCGGTAAAATTAGGAGATCTGGCCAGACAAAGGTAGGTAAAAGGAACTGCCTATTTTGAGAACCACTTGCAGGTACCGATACGGTGTGTTTGCTAACACAAACCCCCGGACACGATCTGACTCGAATACGAGTCGTCCCTCACCCAATCAATCCATTATCAACATCTCGCTCCCGGAGAACGGTAATCGGTCCAAGTGTTTATGTCATAGTTTACGGTAAGGCTGGTGATACCGGTATCATAATAATATTATCGTAGTTTCTCGACATATGTCACATAAAGTCATCGTCGGCCAGGAAAAGTGCTTGTACCATACCGCTGAAATCACACCAAAATCAGGCAAATTTGACGCCAACCAAATTGGCAGGGGGGTTGAAGAATCCCCGGCCAAGGCAGATTATTACTGAAAAACGCAGCTGCGGGTAATCATGGCCAGGAAACCTGGGAAATCTAGTTCATGTCACTTCAACCGCAAATTATACCAGTTAAATTGTGAATTGGCCCTCCCACAAGCAAGCAAGCAAACGGCTTAAGGTATGAGTATGATATTCAAATATTCATGCCAAGCCTCGAGGTTTGTATGGGGGCTAATAGAAAACGGTATATTGTACTCGTATACGGTGCTTGTTTGAAAATCCCCCCCATTCCACAGCCCCATATCATACCAATAAGGCAGGACATGTCTGATCCAGCTGAATCCCGGGCACCGGCATCGCGAAGTCTACTCCCGGGGACTGACGATAACTCGCAGACTGACACATAATCAATTGTGGCGACATGGAAATCTAATTGTGGCAATTGCCACATTTTTGTTCTGTGAAATGGGGCGGGTCACGATCAAAACATTTTTGCGATATTTTTTTTGAAGAAAAAAAAAACAAAAAAAACACCCACATATCTCCTAATATACCAAGCAGGCTCTATCCCAGGAAGGTATTAATATCATACCAGAGACTCCTCCGTTCTCCCATTCCCTCCAAAAGATAAAGTAACGCAAGGCTCGCGCAGGTTCGGATGCAGCAAAATGCCGTGGGACGATGAGTGAGATATTCTGCACCATCACAGTTTATGATGCCCCAGTACGAGTAGAGAAGCATCTATTATCCGACTATTACACTTTTCTTTAGGGTCGGCTTGCTTTGTCAATACCGGTATAGGACTAACTTGTGCTCTTTTCAGGAAAAAAATAAAAATAAAAATAACAACACTGCGATACATCTCCATTGGTGCGTTCCGGACTTTTTCTTGTGTCCGTCCGTCGAGGGGCTGGGTTCAGCTCTCGCTGCATTTTTTTTTTTTTTTTTTTTTAGAAAAAAAAAAAAAGTAAAAGAAAAAGAGAAGAAAAAGAGTGTGTGAAAAGGAAGCCTCGACCGAGCGCATACTCATAGTTTACCGGTGGTCCAATCATTTCAAGCTTCTACCGTAAGGTGGGCGGGTAGGCATCCAAATGTTTACAACCTTGTAAGTACCCGTACAGTACATTATCATAACTTCTCTTTTTTATATATTATATCATAATCATTGTGTATTTGTCTGTTGGCCACTCAAGTGCTGCCGTACCTTACTGGAATCTAGGCCGAGTCCAAGAGGCGAGGGAGGAGGATGCAGCCCGTTTCGCGAGAGCAGGGTGAGGCTGCAGCAGACTTTGTCTGCCTTCTTTCTCCTTGAGGCTTGCCTGCTGACCTGCAAGGTTACCGTATCGTACCAAAGCCCGTTAAGGATACTGGTAGCAAATACTCAGAACGCTTTCAAATAATGAGTTGCGGGATCTCGGCAATATCCAATCCGATAACCGGGTTCGTTGGCAGCCCTGCGAGCGCTGTCTGTGATGGGCACAAGTCGTCGGGACTATGAGCACTGGTACAGTACTCGAGTAGATGGGGGGGCAGCGCGATGGGTGGGGTGGGGTGGCTGGTGGGGTGACTTCGCCTGTGGCACGTCGTTGGAGTTCTCTTCTCTTGGGTGGTAACTCAAGGACTGGCGTTTTGTTATTTTTTGTTTTTCTATGTGCCTCTCAGAGGGGGTGAGCAGGTTCCTTCTTCTGCGGTGCGTTTCGCCCCTCTTCCAAAGTAGGGAATTCTGGACTTCATAGCACACGGCTCTATTATTTGATTTTTCATGACATAAGTATCATACTTGTACTATAATAGTACAAGCACCTGGGAATAGACTTTTGGCAAAGGGCTTTACTCAACTGGTACTGTAGGGTATCATACCGGTAACGTATAGCACTGTACATTTTTTTCTCAAGTGGTCAGATACATACTGACTGACCTTGTCACTCGCTCCATGTTATCCATCCATTCATCAATAAATGTACTGTACCCTTCCCCACTACTCACCACAGCTCCCCCCACTACGAGTAGTGACAGGCCTCCCGCAACTTGATGATTACTGCTTCTGTCCAAAGGGGGAAAAAAGGGGGAAAAAACGCCAGCCAGCCAGTCCCTCGATTCTTGGTGGGCACGGACATAATTTGTGTGGAGTGGCGACTCGAAATTTGGGATTTTCCGAACAAAAAAAATATAGGTGCCAAATGACTTCTGGCTGGTCGGTCCTTGCAATCTTCTGACCTTCGTGAACAGCCGGAATCTTGGGGCTCTGGCTAATTTATTGCCAGCATCCGATAGCAGCTGTGTTCGTGAACGTCAGAAGCTTACGAGTGCAGTACGGTAGGCCTTGTCGGACTCGCGTCGAAGGAGCCGCTCGTTCCCTCCCTTCCGGTCAAGCAAAAGGGAGTGGATAACTTGACACGAAATACCAGCCTCCGCAGTTTTTTTTGTAAATTTGCGGCAACATCGTACTTTACTCGAGTACTCATCCCGCAAGGGCGTTTTGTTGAAATCTACTTGTAGGTTTGATTGCAAGACGGGAAATTCACTACCGGTACCGCACCGTAATTCAGGGTCCCCCCCGTTGGAAGAAAAAGGAATCATTTCGCGCGACATTGCCCGCCGGTGCCCGGGCGAAGTAATGTGGCTGATGATACCAGATGGGCCTGGACTAATTAGCTTCAGAAGAGGAGAGGGAAGGTAGACAGACATGTGGCCTCCAAGGGGGGGTGATTTTCATCCGCTGCGAATCGAGGATGCTCTAGAGTACTCGTACTCTCCCTATGCATGTGTCAGAGTGTCATTATGCCCACATTTCATTTATCCCGGGAGGCTGCATTATGCGGAGGAAGGAGGTCCACCGGTAGCCCGTGATTATCGGGCAGAGCGGGGACGGGGAGAGGGAGGTTTTTTTTTTTTTTTTTTTTTTTTTCATAAACACCTCTCTCTCTTTCCGAGGAGCCATTTTTCTGTTTCCTCCCTCAATTTTTCGGTGGGCCCAACTTCGTTTTGATAAGGGGCGCATGGTATGATACCCCAATTTTTCTCCCGCTTTTTTGTTGGTTTTGGAGATACCACCGACACCTCCGTAACTATCTTAGCGAGGGCTTAGCTAGGAGGGAAAAAGTCCCTCTTCCACCGGCTATTATAGCGAATTGAAAGAAGCGAACCCCGAGTAAGTAAGGAAGCACACGATGGCTGCGTTGAACAATGAACAGCGAGTGTCCGCTGTGCCTACACGGAGAGGGGAAGGCCGATGAATAACAAGTGTTTTCCGTATGTAGGAGACTGTACGAGTACCGGTAGTAGACCTGCTTCGAGCTAACTTGGGGGGAGGAAGGGAACTCAACAGTTGAGTTCAAGACTCTTCATCTCCCTCCCTCCCTCCCTCCCCTCTCTCACGATAGTTAAAATTAGCTTCTAAGAAAGGGTTTGTTGGCGCAACAGTATTGAAGAAAGGCTAGCAAGGGGCACCAGAAGCCCTTATCAGCCAATAGACATGCCCATTTGGTGGAGAGGTTGTGACAGACCCATCGTCACACGGCTGATTACTACCATTTGATCTAGGGCCTTTGTCCCTAGCAGGCCTAGCTGTCGGGCGAATGGGGGAAAGGTATTGTCTGTTCATGGCCTCGAGACCAGTGGTCTAAGTTAGGCGTGAGCCAACTGACAATTCAATGCTCCAGTATAACTTAGTCTTTGCCTGTGAAGCTCTTCTAAGGGAGTACCAACTTTTCCATAGAATTTATAATAGTACGGTATGAACCGTCCTCAGGTCCCTGGTTGACTTATCCCGAGTCCAGTATTTGACCTTGCCACCCCCCCCGGACCCATACCTTAATAAGCCCCCTCAACCTCTCTCTATAAGATCCCTACCTGTCCTCTGTGTTGGCCCTTTTTTATTCACTCCATTATCCCTCCGCCACTTATAGAATTATTTCATTCCCAAGAATCCTCAGCGCAACCACAAACCTATAGCCGTTATGGACGAGTCGAGCAGCAATACTCCCTATCCTCAATACTTACAGCCGGCCCCGGCTCAGAATATCATCAAGACAACTCAGACAGGAGCGTTGGATTCCGCTTTTCGATGTAATAACACTGATTCCTACTTCCCACCACAAGGGAGCGAGCTGGCAATCTCGATATCCTCCTCAACCTCACCCAAAGTTCCGAGCTCCCGAGCGGACCTACCAGGGTTGCTGGGGAAGAAAGAGCCAAAGAAGATGGCTGCCCCAGTAATGCCGGCTACTGCTGAGGATGAAGCCCCAAAAGTCGAGCCAGAAACCCCAGGTGAGGATGAGAAGCCACCACGCGAAATACCAATGCCTAAAATCGAACAGCCTCCTCCGGAAACAAGACGCACGCCGGCAATCTATGCCTTCCCGACACCTCCATTGTCTAGAAGCATGTCCGCGATGAGCCTTGCCTCAGGCGTGAGTGTTGCTCCCTCGACACCTGATAAGGAGACGTGGGATAGGACGATCGCCAGGGTGATCAATGGAATTGTTTCAATTAAGGCGACAACTACCAGACCCTTCGATACGGAATCTGCGGGCGACTATACTGCAACCGGATTTGTGATTTCTAAGAAGCACGGTCTTATCCTCTCTAATCGTCATGTCGTGTCACCTGCGCCGATAACCTCGGTTGCTGTATTTGTTAACTACGAAGAGGTGCCAATCAAACCCGTTTATCGTGACCCCACCCACGACTTTGGTATCTTTAGGTATGACCCATCAAAATTGAAGCACATTAACGTCGAAGAGATCGAGCTTCGACCGGAGCTCGCCCGCGTAGGCGAGGATATCAAGGTCGTCGGTAATGACTCCGGCGAGAAGTTATCGATTCTCGGCTCTACCCTCGCAAGGCTCGACCGCCAGGCCCCAAGTTACGGAACCGACTCCTACAACGACTTCAATACCTTCTACATGCAAGCCGCTTCCGGAACCTCCGGCGGATCCTCCGGTTCCCCGGTGTTGAACATTAACGGCCAGGCTGTGGCCTTGAATGCCGGAGGAAGTAACTCTTCTCAGAGCTCTTTCTATCTTCCGTTACACAGGGTCGTACGCGCGGTGGAGAAGATTAAGAGAGGAGAAGCTGTCAGCCGTGGTACTTTGCAGACCGAGTTTCTGCACCACAGCTACGATGAACTTCGAAGGCTCGGTCTGACGGAGTTGGTTGAGGAGGAATGCAGGGCTAGAAACCCTTCTGCTACAGGTCTCCTTTGTGTCATCCGGGTTCTCAAGGGCGGCCCCGCAAGCCCAGATAGGAAACGACTTCCGGACGAGGCAGAGGTCGCTGTTCCACCCGGTGTAACCAGAGTTCGCGGGTTGGAGCCTGGGGACATTCTTTTCACCTGTAACGGAAAGCACATTACGGACTTTATTGGGCTTTGGAGTATCATTGACGATAGTGTTGGAGGGGATATCGTGATCGAGGTTTTCCGTGCCGGAAAGGAGGGTAGGGCTGGTGCCACTGGGATGCTGCAGGTTGTATGCACCGTTCAGGATTTGCACACTATCACTCCCAGCCGCTTCTTCGAAATTGGTGGAGCTGTGATTCATGATTTGAGCTACCAGATGGGCAGAAATCACAACGTCCAACTTGGGACTGGCGTTTTCTGTGCGGGTAAGTTAAGACTTTATTCCACCATTTACGTTTACGAGTATTTCTAATGCTGTTTGCTTGCTAGCTTCTGGCTTCCTTCTGTGGTCTTCATGGAGCAGAGATTTCTTGATCACTGCTGTCGATGGAAAGCCTACCAAGACTTTGGACCAATTCATTGAAGTCATTAAAGGGATCCCGGATTATAAGCGGGTACCCTTTATGACGAGGTCTATGGGCAGAAACGAAGATCAGATGATGATGGTAGATATCGATAGACATTTCTTCCTCGCTGCCTTGTTCGAGAGAGATGACAAGGCTGGGCATTGGGTCAGGCAAGAACTTGGGTCCCCGCTCCCTGAGGAAGTTCCCAGTGTATCAGAAATTACCAATGAAGATGCCATTGGTGCTGAAGAGGAAGACGAGGAAGACCCGGAAGAAGCGGCTCTTGAGAAACTCAAGGGTTCTCTCGTTAATGTTATTTGCCGTCTCCCGTACTCCATCTACGGCCACACATCTGCTTCCAACTATTCGGGTGTCGGCATAATTGTGTCACTATCACCTGTTCCCTTGATCCTGTTTGATAGGTCATCTGTTCCAACGGAAATGTTGGATATTCGTCTTACGGTCTCAAACAAGAACATTCCCGGACAGGTAGTCTATCTCGGAGCCTTTACGCTTGTCACTTTTGATAGCAAACTTCTTCCCAAGGGCATCAGCGTGCCGGAATGGGACACAAAACCCCTTAAGGTGCGCGATGAGGTCAAGGTAATTGGTCTGACATCAGACCAACTCCTTGCCCAGAAGGAGACTTCAATTTCATCGATCGGCGTAAGCTTCAACACCTGGCAGTGCAATCCCCCGCGTCACAGGTTGATCAACATTGAGAATATTAATCTCTCTGAGTCGTCGGGTTTCTGGGGCGGCGCTATTGCGCGCAAGCAACCTAAGACCGCATCGAATGAGGAGAAGCGCGTTTTGAAGGTTGCTGCTTATTACATGACCATTTCCTCGCAGAACAAGAATGGTGATGATTCTTTCTGGACTCAAGGTCTCGATATTCAGCGTTATGTCCTTCCGGTTGTCGCTCGTATCAATGAGGAACTGGCCACTGGGCCTGTTGAGCCGCCTTGTCGGGATCTCGGAATTGAGTTCTCCGACATGTCGCTCGCGACCGTGTCCACCATGGGACTTTCGCAAAAGAGGTTTGATGCTTACGTGAAAGCAGCAAAGCGAATTCGTGGTGCTCCCCGACCACTCATTGTCGAGTCTCATATTCGCTCATTACCAGTCTCCCCGGAAAACGAGGAAATGTACCCAAAGATCGCAGACATCGTCTTGGAGATTGACGGGAAGCCAATCCACCGGGTTTCTCAGCTCACGGAGTTAAACCTTGAGTTGAAGGAATCCGTTGAAATGGTTGTCCTCCGCGGCGGCGAAGAACTCACCCTGACCGTACCAACCGCTCCCGCTCACCCCTCCACAGGAACACACGTCGTTCAGTTCTTTGGTGCGATCGTTCACGCAACCCATGCTGCAGTGCTCGAACAGGTGGATTCTAAGGATCCATCTCCCCTCATCCCTATCAAGACCCCTAGCGTCTACGTCGGAGGTGTATCATACGGGTCCCCGGCACTCGATAACATCCGTCCGACCCACTGGATCTTGGAAGTCGACGGGGTCTCTACCTCCAGCATTGACGACCTCATCGATGTTGTTAAGAGCAAGAAGTGGAAGACTGGCAAGTACATCCGTGTCAAGCAAGTTAACCGCAAGGGCATCACCAGCGTTGCCTCCATCCGTGTCGACGAGCGCTTCTGGCCAGTCCTTGGTTGGAAGCGACAGAGCTTTGGTAGTCGGCAGTGGACCCAGGAGAGGATTAGTGGGACGGAGTTCGTGGAGGGCATCATCTAATCCTTTTCAACATTTTTCTTTCTTTCTTTCAAGTTTCTCTGCTCACTATTGCTTCCTTTTTAATAAACCTTCACGTGTTATTTTTTTTTATAGGTTTTTGAGTCTTGCATATTCTTGAACATAGATTGCTTGGCAAAGTAGTCGGTCGGGGGGGTGAGCTGAGCTTTGGTTACTTTTATGGTTATTTCTTGCTCCCTCTGTGCGAGTTTTTTTTTTCTCCACAAAATCGGATAGATTGGGTGTAGGGTGGTTATGGGTTGTTCGTTTGGCTATTATTATGTTACGGTGGTGAGGGTTTTCATGAGTATTAGGTTAGATGGTGCCTTCATTTGGTCACCCTTTTAGTAATTGATTAGTTTGTTATCGTTCATATTGTCGCCTGATGTTTGAATTGCTATTATGGGAATAAAGAGTTTGCTGATATCTATGAGGGCTTGTGGGGGGGGGATAGATGATTGTAAGTATCATATAACTGTGAGAAGTAATCAACGTAAACCTGGCGCCGCCTCGTACGCATAAAGTATCACTCGCCAGGCCGGAAAATAAGGTGCCGAATATATGACTTCAATGTGATGGTGAGCACATACGGTGCGGACACCCGTCGTATGATACTTCTTGGAACATCGGGATCTAGAAGTTGACAAGAGTCATGTTGATACATATATAGATACTGCTGCTTATCATATGAAGGACAGCTCAGGGTACCGGTAAGCCGGCGAGCTAGAGGACAAGCAAGCAATCGTCTTTCTTTTCCATCCCCCAAAATCCTTTCTCATATATCCCTTCCTATCAGTATTAGCTCGCCTTTAACCTTCGATTTATTGTCTGCAATCTCTAACGTAAAGCTAAGTGCTCAAGTACGGAATTCGGGTTCGTACGGTAATACTCGTGACGCTCGACCCAAAAGTCGGATATACAGTAACTCCCGGAGCGGGCGTATCACCAGTCATAGATATCGTTTGTATCATACCCATAGTACTCTTCCTTTATCATACCCTTACCAACTACAAAGACCCCTAACCTGCTCGTATAGTATCTCTACCGCTATGCTAGGGCTAAAATGTTTTAGAATCGAGAGTTATATGTAATTTTACTCCGCGAGTGGGACAAAAACGCCCCCTCGGGGAACTTATTAATCTCGATTTGGGTTTTTTCGGCTCATCTTGGTTGCTGGCGTTCTGGGTTCGAGCGCGCGCTCGCTCTGATTGGGTATATGCTAGTTGGGGATAGTATTTGACTTTCCATCTGGACGAGTTCCTTTATTGTGGGACGTACAGTACAGGAATCGTTGGTGATTTTATACTATTGCCACAGAGCTTTTTTCCTTTCTCCCCGAAATCAACCCATACTCGGCCAACCATTTTCGATAGCTTCCGTTCAGTGTAGATAGATACATATGCCCAGTGGGATTTACTGTAGGGGTTTTCTCTATCTAAATGTCTGCAGGAAGTCATCAATTATGATGTGTGACTCAACCCGAACATCATCCATTGGCCTTTAAGCAACTAGCTTCCCTGAACTGCGTTGTGCGCACCAAGGTTTCCCCCCCCCCCCATGTCCGAGTGGATATTTGGGGGCGTAGTTTTTTTTCCTCCCCAAATTGGTGAATGGTTTAATTGTACCTCATTACGAGAGGAGGGGGGGGGGGGGTTGAACACCTGGGCTCCTGATAATTAAATATGGGGTTAATCTGCTCTTGGATAGAGCCTTGGTATGATTGCGATTTCAAATAATTGCGATATGAAATCAGAGATGTTTTTGGAAGCGCAGCTTCAAATCATGATTTGGAAAACCGGTTTGGTTAGGTGATTTGGATTATATATATTCAGTGCTATGTGGGTGCTTAAAACTCGGGGCAAATTTTTTTGCATCCTCATCTTTGCGATAAGTCGAGAAAAACAATTATATAATATTATCATAGTACGTATGAATGTACTGTACAGTCGGGATCGTCCTTTACTTCCATGAATTTTTATGATATTATTATTACTTAAGCATTATATCATATTCCGAAAAAGCAAAGCAAATGTATAGGCTAAACCTCTCAAAATATTAAAAAGTAAAAAAAACAAGGTATGGAAATTAATAATATGTTAACCTACTTAAACCACCAGCAATGAGTTTGGCTAGGATTTGGAGAGGGTTACAGATTTACAGGTGTACTGCCGGAAGCTTCCAGGCACTCATACATTGGCAAGCGTATAACAGAAGGGTGCTATAATACCATACGATATTCATGTGTTATGGTGACTCTTTTAGAGCACAACGCTCGACTCCCAAGTCGGGCTTCACAAGTCGAAACAGGTGTCATGTGATGCTTTGAGAACAAACCAGCTGGGACAGAAGTACCCTCTCCCATTCTAACGCCGTAGACTCTCTTCGCATGGGATTGCGCAATTCGAGCGTGGGTAAGGGTACGATACTTGATACCCATATCAGCAGACAGGTAGAATCTAAGTGCTCGATAGGGATAAGTAGTGTTATCATAAGGGATCACTTGTGTCATTGTCCCCTACCCATTGCCCATACCTTTGCTGTATACCATACCAGTATGATTCTCGTGAGGACCGACTTGAAAGTCGGGTGCAATTCCCTAACGGGGTATGGTGAGATTCGATGGTGAGAGTTTTGGTATCTGTGGTAATTTCATGGCTCCCACTTCTGTCACTCCCTAGCCCCGTCAGTTTATGGGTATATCTGTTTCTGAAGGGTTTGGGCTGCTAGTTGGGATACCTATACACCACTTGGTTTGTCTATCGATGAGCCAGTGGGGTAGTGAGTGGATCCAATTCGCGGATTAGAAAGAGTGTACAAAATTCAGGAAGTGTGTAATGATAAACTTCGTTCTCTTGCTCGGTCTCCGAAACTAGCGGTAGGGGCAGGAGTACATAAGCATAATAAGAATCCAAATACTTCCACATATCACTATATATATTGCCATGCCTATATACCAGTCCCCATCCCAGTGCATACTCCCGTAATAACAAGGAAAGACGTGCCTAGAGAACCTTCTCCGCACATCACAACTCTAGAAGAATCCACGACGCTCCCAAAATTTCCACAATCAGCCACAACGCACCAATTATCTCAGATAACTCTAAAGCACGGCCCTTGTGCACAATCACCCCCCCCCCCATCGTTTTCTAACCCCAACATTGTTGCTGTAGCTAGATTGTCCATCTATCTGAACGTGGGGGATCATGGCGCTACTCAAAAGCGACCAGTATTCATAAATTCGTTTTTGAAGGCATATCTGTGCTCTTGGTACTCGCTCGTTGTGGGTGCCTTCTCACTCGCGCGAAAGCGGGTAGCTAATGCCAGTCATAACTGCGGGCCCCCGCGTACCTGACGAACCTTCGACCATCTGACCCAGAGGTAAAATGAATCCACCCCTCAATTCGAAGCTCCGTTTCGACTTACTGAAGCGTGGGGGTGGTGAGAACGAGAATAGACCCACTTGTGTAGCTCGACGGGGGAGTTTTTAACACCACTTGTCATACCTCATCCACTCCTGCCTAACAGCTGTTATATCCCGTTTGGATAAGGATTATCCGAGCCAAGCTTTTTATTTGGCATACCTTCAGGTTGTTGCACCGGATGCCTCGTGGTGAGTGAAAATGTGTGGTATATCCGGCGTAATATCCGGGATTATTAGAGATACACTCGAGTAGTAGAGAGTTCCACGAGGTGTACTGGCTTTGGGTATGGCTTCTGCCGGCTACTTCATGTTACTGACCCTACCACGAGACGTATAGATGCATGCGGAAGGGCTCGGAACTCCATTGGCACAACGAACCCAATACACTCTGACTCACGAAGTATTCCCTGTGATTTGCTCTATCTGGACCCTGTGATACGGTGAGAGCGTTAATCCCATCGCCTACGATACCGGTATGGCATTTGGTTTGTGTTGAATAAATCTCCCTTCGCGTAATACGGGGTCGGGGATTTATTATTAAGTCCCCTAACCTCTGATCTAGTTCCTGCTAGAAACTTATCATTTGTCTGATGAGAATACTGGTATGTGGTGCCTTCTCGGCACTATCAAGCTGCATAATAACGCCCAGGCATTTGATCCAGGTGCGCTTTTTCTCTCTCATGGATATTTTTCGGTGAGGATTTTCGGTGGTCTTCCCTGGGTCCATTTATGTAAGAGGGGGGTGAAGGGACTACAGTACTCGCTGGTCCGCATAGCAAATGAACCAGAGCGTAGTATGATAGGCATAACAGGGTAGGTTGAGGACCCAGTAGGAATGACAAAAGCCAGGGGTAGTATAATAGCTGGGCCTGGAAGCCATGGGCGGTGCCCCAAGGTATCATAAATGAGAACAGCATTGTCGTAAAGACATGTCTGAAAAGTGCGACTCTAAAATACCTATTTTTGTGGGTAAACGAGTGATGGGTTATGAGCTCCTAGCTGTACGATAACGGAATAACTATTTTCCGGATGCCTTTTTTTTTTTCTTTTTCCTGCTTATGATCACCGTAGCTCCCTTTTCACGGGGTTGGAGCGATTGTCGTGTCAGAATCCAGCAAAGACGGAAGAACCCGTCACGTCGGAGAGGAACTAACCCGACAATAATATATATACCTAGCTCATGAACCTTCCTTCTTGACTTGCCGTTTGTTCTCTCTCTTGCCCTTCCTTCCCCACCCCATTAACACAATACCTCTGCATCGCCAGAATGGCTGAAGTAATTAACTCTAAGGGAGTCGGCTACCCCGAGCCCATTGCTGCCCCGAGCGCCCCATACGTCAACCCACGGGACTCGAACCCAACGCTCACGGGCCTCCCGCTGAGAGTTCTCGGTGAAGTGTTTGTTTTCCCCTCAGAATCGCATTAAAACACATAGAAAAAGGCTGAAAACAACCCTAGTGTTTCTAGCTTCGGGCCTTTGCAATCTATCCTTTGGAGCAACGCAAACTTCGATTCCCTCAGGCAACTCGAGGAATCTGGCGTCCTTGACCGGTTCCTCCCACGCTTTGATCCGACCGTGATTCCGTCCAAACTCCCTGCTCCAGCCCCTTCCCTACCCAGCGAGTCCTCCATGACCAGCTCAGTGTTCAATTCTTCCGCATCTTACACCGCCCAGTTTGCCTCTGGTAAGCTCACTCCCGTGACCGTCATAAACGAGCGACTCTTGCCATTGTTTACGTCCCCGAAATCCCCCCACTCCGTCTGCGTGATCACCCCCGTCACCCCTTCCGCCGGAGCGTCCGCGTCTACTTCTAGGTATGCTGCTTCAACAGCACACACTTCCGGCATTGATGGAGTTCCGATTCTCGTGAAAGACGAGTTCTCCCTCGCGGGGACACCGCGCACAATGGGGTTGACGAAAGCCGAGATGACACGTCGTGCATATAGCGCGTCAGAGGAAGGGCAGACATCTTGGTGTGTGCAGAAATTGATTGATGCCGGTGCATTAGTCGTTGGGAAAGCCAATATGCACGAGATAGGGTTCGACACGACCAATAACAACCCGAATTGGGGCACACCGAGAAATCCGTACAATAAGGGCTATTACCCTGGTGGGAGTTCCGGTGGGTGTGCGTATGCTGTCGGCGCGGGGTTGGTACCAATTGCCGTTGGCGCGGATGGCGGAGGGTCGATCAGGTATTACTTTTGTACACTTCGGCTTTTACAATTGGAGGATTGGGAGAGCTAACAGTTTATGGGGGTGCGTGATAGGATACCTGCGGCTTATTGTGGTGTCTATGGGCTGAAGCCGACCCACGGGCGCGTTTCTCATCGTCCTACACTGAGTATAGCCGCGAGTGTATGTTCCCCCCTCTCCTAGCGGTGAGTCACGATTTTGCTAACGACTCGAGATCGCAGAATGGAGTCGTCGGCCCGATCGCAGCCACGATCTCGGACCTCGAACTCGCCTACCGTATCATGGCAACCCCCGACCCGCAAGACCCCGTCTCAATCAACTTCTCCCAACCAAAAAAGCCCCCGGTGGAAGCACACACGGGAAAGCGCATAATCGGAATCTACAAACCCTGGTTCGAAGACTGCGACCAAGAGGTCAAAGATGTTACAAATACGGCCGTGAAATGGCTGGAGACCGAGGCCGGTTACGAAGTCGTAGATATTGAGATCCCCTATCTGAAGGAGGGGAGAACGGCCCACGCGATTACCATTATGACAGAGATTGGCCAGGGGTTTTGCAAAGGTGAGGCTTCGGGCTTGACGCCTGCTAATAAGCTGCTTGTGGGTGTTTCCAATAAGACACCTGCTAGGGTATTTCCCCTCTCCCTCAAGGGCCCTCTGCCACTACTGCTACGATACTGACTTGTGCGAAAGGACTTCAACATAGCCCAACGCGTCCGCGCAATGCTAATGTCACACCTAAGTTCACTCTTCGCCACCCACACCGACAGCCTAGTAATCCTCTCCCCAGTAACACCCCACATCGGCGTGAAGATCGGCTCGGAATCGCATGTTGCTAAGGGCGGCTCCGGCATTAGCGACGCAAACACCAGTCTGAAGAGTATGCAGTACGTCTTCCTAGCAAACTTCACCGGGTGTCCGAGTATTTCGGTCCCCGTGGGGTACTCCCTGACTGAAGGAGTGCCGATCGGGTTGATGGGTATGGCGGCGTGGGGGGGCGAAGAGGTGTTGTTGGGATTGGGGGAGTGCACAGAGAGATATTTTGAAGGAGTTGTTGGGAGGAGGAAGGGGGGTGGCGAGGAGGGGGAGAGAGGTGGGGTTTATGTCGACGTTCTAGCCAGTGAAGGCCAATTAGATGGTGGCGGCGGTGATGGTCCAGCTAGTCCCGGATCGTGATTGGGGAAATGGGACAGCGCTGGATTGAGTACCCACCACCCACAGTCTACTCGAGTACCCACATGGTGGTGCCTTTAGTTCTTCCTTCTCTTTCCCCCTTTCGTACCAATAGCAGCACATATGTAACTACATTTTTGCACTAGTGATCAGAGAATTATATAATGAATATCCGTATTTAGTTGAACCTGTGCTTCTTGCCTAACTTAGTATACATCGATTTTTAGCCCATCTACTATGCTATCATAGTTTGTTCAACTGAAACATCCCTGAACTAAATTCTGATTATTCAACTCGAACTCAGAGTGGGAAAACCCCCAAAATTACATTATCGCATACCACGTACAGTATACCTGTACAGCGCTCGTATGGAGCATAGCAAAAGGACCCCAATCCCATGCTACTCAACAAAAATTCAGTACAATACCAAACTCCCCGATTCCAGAAAGTATAGACTACAGTTTAACCCCACCGTCACAAAAATATTAGATACAACCATGGTGCAATTCCCCGGGGATACGTTCCAGCACAGCACACTACATCCCAAAGTCCCAGCCCAATGATGCGCTGGGAATAGCTGGCATTCCATACTAGTATCATACTATTGCAGGTAATCTTCAGCGAACATTGTAACGTGCCCTCACTTCCCCCATCCGATTGCGGGTTGGAAGGCGGTGGATGGTTTGATTCAGCGGTTTTTCACATTCCCCGGGGGGGGGGGGGGTTGCCGGGAGAGAAGAGTTGTGAGGATTGGAGGGCGGGAGGTATGTAACTTAGGGGGGAAGATTCAGGTATCATATAAAAATCGGAGTGGGGGGGAATCCGTTGGAAGTAAAATGGTATTTCTACAGTACCAGTACTTTTATTACCTGCTATGATACTATAAGTACCCTTTGCCTTTGATATATTATATTCTATATGATACCAATAATGGATTTCACCGCCGCCGGTACTCCCTTCCACGTCCCCGTCCCCGCCACTCTGGCTGGACACCATACCTCCACCCCACCCCCAGCTCTCACCCGGGACATCGATCGACGTCTGCGGCACCGGCGATTCCAACGCTTGGTCCATTACTAAGTGTCCCACCTACCTACGAAGTATCATAGCAACCGAGCACATTGGTTACGTAATATCTACCTGTATAACCGGTGTGCCGAAGATGACCTTCTCCGGAGCGCTCTCGGGCAGCGCCAGGCACCATTGCCGCCAGAAGCGTGAACTAGCTTTAACTCCCACCTGGTTGGGCTGCGGTGCAGAGAATCACAGGTAATTGAAAGTGCAAACCGGCAGCTCGTAGTGTTGAGAGGGAGGGCTTGGCAGTGGGGAGGAGGCGATTGGCGCTACCGGGAGTGGGGATTCCCTAGAGTAACTGTGGGACTGGGTTTAAGAGGAAAAAGAAAAGGAGTGGTGTCATGGTATATCACTCGGTAGATGAATGGAGAAATTTGGAAGGGGGATATAAAGATTGAAAACAATGACGGTCGCACTGTTAGAAGAAGTATGTCTTCCATTCAAGACTTCTGAGGTTCCTTGTGGAAAATATTATATCATGAAGATCTCCATCCCACAAAGGAACTCTTTCACGTTTCCTAATCAGTCTGGAGACTCGACATGCCCTTTGCGAAAACACGATAATTGGTGGGTTTTAACCGTTGGGGTAAATCCCAGAACCCATAACTTGCCTCGGGACTCATCGGCCATTTATTGGATATGGTATTATAGCTAGCTCCAACAGGTGCATGACACACTTCGTCAGTAGAAGATAGGCCCACGCCCCCTGAAGAATATGGGTCCTATTGGGGTTGCGGAGAGGCTAAGTGGGTCTTAGACGTCTCTTTTTACAGGCTCACTCCACATGATATTGTCGTAGCCAAGGAGGTTGGCCATGCGGGGTTGTAGAACTACCAGACCAGACTATTGTCCTCGTCACTCATAACGAACTCTTAGCGCTCCCGCCCATATCAGACGATGGCTTGCAAAGGGCAAACCTCGATCAGAAGGGCACAATTTGGGTCGACGCTCGGCGCCGGTTTTCGAACAGTTGGTAGGTATCTACAGCTGTATCAAATCATCTTGCCCCGCGAGTGAGAAACAATGATAACCCAGGGCCGTTCTCGCGTATTTATCCTTAAACACATGCCGAGCTCCTAGAATGATGCGAGTAGAAAAGAAAAAAACACCCCAGGTTAACACTATTGGTAAATACATGAGGGCTGAGCTCCAAAACATCTAAAGCCTCTAATACTCGGGGAATTCACCTGCTACCCCACTCCTCGCCCATTCTACGATCCCACCTTTTATATCAAATACCCGATCATCTGGGAAGACACCCGCTTCCTTTAGCTGTCTCGCCACAATCTGTGAGTCATTCCCGAGTCTGCATATGACGTATACTGGCCGGTCCTTTGGTTGATCCCGGAATTTTGACTTGATCTCTTCGGCCTCCGAATCTTCATACTTTAAAGCTTCAAACTCGGCGTATGGGATATCTAATCTTATTAACCCCACCCAATCAGACCATAGAGAAAGAAGAGGAAAAACTTACTCAAACTCCCCGCCAGCTGGCAGATCCCAAACTGCGTTTCATCTCTAACATCCAATAGTAGATGATCCACCCCACTATCGACTACCTCCTGGTACTCTGCCACACTAACCCTCTCACCTTCGTGCAATACCTGCACTCCCACCCTCCCCCCGCAGAATGCAACATAGTCCATCCTCCCATCCTCAATACTCTCCCTCGTAATCTTTTCCGCCCTTTCCGGACTTCCACAGGAAACACACCCCTCCTTCCTCCCCCTCATTTTCAAAGACCGAAATGGCGAGGCTCCGTATGCGGCGAAAAGTGTCATTTCCGTCCTCCCTATGTCCCGCACGGGATTCTTCGTGATGATCTTGATGGCTTCGATGGCCTGCATAACGCCCATTAATCCCACTACAGGGCCAAGAATCCCGCCCTCGCCGCAGCCGACGACACTTTCTGCGGGTGGCGGACGTGGCCATATACACCTGTAGCAGGGACCCACACCGGGGGGGTTATTGAGGACGACGAGTTGGCCGTCTGTCCTTAGTGCTGATGCGGAGACTATGGGAACGCCCATGATCACCGCTACATCGTTAATTAAATACCGGATTGCGGGATGATCTGTGCAGTCTAGGACAAGGTCGTACTCTGCCATGATCCGCAGTGAGTTCTCAGTCGTCAACGGCTCGATATGCGGGACGTAGTTTGGATGTGGGTTTAAGCTTTTTTGGGGGGGCTCTCAAGTTAGTTGTCGGTTGTTCAGTCGCTAAATATAAGTGCCTTCGGGGAACATACTCGCGAAGATATGTAACTGCGCTGACAACTTTCATCATCCCCACTCTCGAAGTGGAATGTATGATCTGGCGATGGAGATTTGAATTCTCAACCGTATCGTGGTCAATTATTCCCAAGGTCCCTACTCCCGCTCCTGCGAGATATGCTGCTGCCGGACATCCAAGCCCACCGGCGCCCACGATGAGCACGCGGGACTGTTTGAGTGACATTTGACCTGGTAGCCCAATTTAGTCATTCATCCGCTAGCACTGAAATTTTGCGAAAAACTGGTGAAAGTTTCATACCTTCGATTCCGATTTCGGGAAGTATCATTTGTCTCCCGTAACGTTTGTATTCTTCCAGTGAGAGCTTTACTTCGCCCTTGCTCACGATATTGGGAGGAGGATGGGATTTCTGGGATGTGACGAGTGGGCGATCGCTGTGACCGGCGAGCTGGGCCTCGAGCTCTGATATACGCTTCTTCAGAACTTTGTTCTCTGCTTCTAAGCTTGTTTCCATTATGAGCGGCAGTGGTTGATACGGAGCCTTTGCCTAGAGGTTGAAATTCAAAGAAACGGTCGGGTATTAGGTAGTTAAATGCATACTGGATGCCAAGAAGCCTAATCACTAATAGCTGCCACTTTCCAGAACTGTTGGATATCTAGTGTAACTCACAAAAATGGTACTGTACCTGTTGCCACACTCAACTTTGCTTTTAGACCAAGCGCAGTTCAAGTCAATTTACCGTCGTAACAAAACCTCCCTAATATGGCAGTGTACGCGTGGAATATCATTAGTCTACCTACCATGTTTTCGTGCGATAATACTGTACCAGTAGTAGAACGGAAAATCGTACCGCCTCATTACATTTCTCATTACTATCTAGTTCGCAAACCATTTGTGCTGCTTTGACTGGTTGTGGCATATTATCTTCCAGAATGCTTGCGCTATAATTCACGGGTGTAACATCCTCCGCCCAACAAAACAGAACATCTCTATAGCTAGATCATTGACTCAATTTTCTTCCACACGGGGGTATACCACGAAATGAAAAAGTGCTGCAAACCGCGATTCCTGTCCTGTACCATGATAGAGAGTATATACACCCGTTTAATGCACATAGGAAAAGGCTAATAAATTGCGTACTCAGAAACAAAGGAGCAAACTGGCGATTACAAAAAGCAACCCTCCACTATTCTAATTCTCTTCTCCATCTACCAGTATGGCGGCCTCATGCCGGTCATGCCAGCCATACCAGCGTCACCCTCATCTCGCTTCCTCTCTCCCGTGACCTGTGGTATCAAAGGGTTAGTCAGAACACATGATTTCTATGAAATCCATGGACACCGTTTACCTCAAGTCGAATAAATTTATGTACATGGACCAACCAGTCCACATAGCTTCTCTCTTCATTGTTCCTGTCTTCAACCAAGGAAGAGGCAAACTCGTATTCTGCACCATCGAACCCCTGCCGTGCAAGCTGTATAGAAACAGCCTTACTGCCCCTCTGGGTCTTCAAATAATGGATCAGATTTCTGACCTGAGCGTTGAGGTGAGTCTCCAGAACTGGTAACTCGCACATGTTGGGATCGAGGTCTGAAAGGGAGTTGACTTCAGGGCCAAATAGATCCTGAAGGAGATTGAGGGAGGCATGTGTGTGAAGCCAAAGAAGAAGCAATTGGCCATTGTCGACAAGATACGCTCCTCCCTCCTCAACGAATCCGAATGATGCACGAAGAGCCGCGGGGATCTTAAGGTGTCCAGCAGAATCCGGAAACCCATCCTAATGGCAAATTAGAACGCATAAATAAGCAAAGCGGTCAGCTAGGTTGACAAACCTCCTCGGTCATGCTGTGAATCGGGAGGATTCGGGGGTAGAGATAAAGCTGTAATTCTGCTGGCCCCATGCTCTTCAATAGCCTCATCGAGTGGACTCTCATATCACTCGCAACACTTCCTCCTCTGAAAGCCCTGGTCTTTAATAGAGCCAGGACATACATCGCAAATTCCTTCAAAGTCTCTGGCAACACGAGCTGGCCTGGCGGACTTCCACCTGCGGTTTTTCTGTATGCTACCAGAATGTCAATACATTTCTCAATGAGAGCTCCTCTAATTTCTTTCAGCGGCTTTTCAATCATTCGACTCGCCGCTGTTGAAAACAATATTAGCAGCCGATCAAGCGGAATCTCATCAAAACACGCGTGGTAACACACCTTCCCTAGCTAACACTCCTAACACAGCATCTTGATCTGCCATCCTTATGGCATCACGAATATTCTCAGTCACCCCGGCAACAATGTTACTGCATCTAACTCTCCTCTCACCCTGTCTTGTCGTATAGAGCAGAGCACTTTGGAAATGCGCATCGATTTTGGAATCGAGCTTTCCGTCATAAGAAAACATTACCGAGACACACTTGTCGGCATCGATGGCACCAAATTCGACATCGCCGGCATGGCTGTGTTGGAGAAAGTTTCCATGATATGTAGACACTTGCAAACCATTGGAACATCGAACTTTCATGAGTGACTGATATCCTGTCTCCCTGTGAAAGCTATGGGAGAGCTCGGAGCGGAGCTTGTGAGCATCCCTCTCCGCAACAAAGTTAGGATAGAAGAATATTTCTCCTCCAGTAGTAGATGCAATGTGTCCAACGGTGGCAACATCTATATAGGCACTTGGGGTCATAAAGAAATCTACGCCAACACCTGCTTCAACCAGTTTCCCGGCGACTTTCCGCCAAGTCTGATGTTCGGTCTGAAAAAGAACTTTTTCCTTCTCGCTACTATATAGCTTTGGGTCCTCACGCATGAAGAGACGATGTGGTCCCCATGTCGGCAATGTAGAGAGTGAGCATATAATCTTCCCTCCAGTGCTCTGGAGGGCGGAGAGTGCGGTGGACAGCGCAGGCAAGAGCGCCGGCTCAGCGTTTTTAATATGCACAAAAAGGGTTGGTAGCGACTCCAACAATGATTCAATGACAGCCCTGGAAACGATAATTAGCAATTTCTACAGTGAAAACCAGCCTGAATGTAGAAACGTACCGTGACTCATATGGGTCTACAAATAGACCCTCGCTAAGAGGAACAAACGGGTCCTCTATGTCAGGCATTACCATCATTTGTGCTTGATCTAAGTTAGGCTGAATCATGGGTTAGCACTCGCATCGCACATTCCTTTGTTATACAATATTATAATATATATGCGACAGATAAACTCACATTCAGATTATAGAATTGCACATCCTTATCAAATGTACAGACCCCGATCTTGCAGCCCTTGGGTAGTCGCCTTCTCTTGCCTTCCTTGCCGTCCTCGAATTCGTGGCCTTCTGGTGCATCTTCATACGCACTACTGCCATAGAGCGCTTCTCTAATACCCCCAACAACGCTTTCCAACACCCCTCTATTAATAGCATTCTCGCTAACATCCACTAAGAAAATCCACCTCATTGGAGATCCACCCTTCCCTTCCTCTCCGCCAGCGCCCTCCCCATCTTTCTTCGCCCAATACTCCTTTGGAACCACAAATTCGACTGTGCCTCTCATGAGTTCTGGCCGTTGGTTTCTATCAACCCGAGCACCAGATATATCCACAGGGGCATAATACTCCGACGGAACCTCATTATTAGGGAAGAGGCACATATTACAACGGAATCTGCCGCCGCCTTGTAGGAACGTCATGAAAGGGTTTATGTATGTTCGGCAGCGACGACATCTTGGCGGACCCATCTCTCCAAAGTCCAAAACAGGTATTGGTTCTTCCTCATCCTTCAGCTTGGCCAGTGGTTGTATTAGTAATGCCAGTGGTAAGGACGTAGAGGCCAATAAATCTGCTGTCGCAGGTATGGAGTTAAGAGTAAGCCTACAGAACCGCGGAGACGCATTTCCTTGGTCATGGGCGATATAGTCTGAGGTTGCGTGTGGGGGCTGGTGTCGGGCAAGTGTCGGATACAAAGTTGTTCTGTACTGTTCTGTGTAATAATCACGGTGCCCAGGGATCGACGGAATTTCATTTGGATCCACTCTCCCACCAGTCTGGCGGATATTCGAGGAACCTGGCCGGGCGGCAAAGGCTGCAGGATCCGCAGGAGCTGCAGGAACAAAAGCAGGATTTGCTGGACAAGGAAATTGAGAATTTCCTTGTCCCGGAGGCATGGTCTGCTGTTGTCCAAGGAATGAAGAAGGCATTTGGTTCGCAACATTGGGGGTAAATGCTGGCAGATTAGGCTCGTTCGATGGCTCAGAGCTTTGATCAAGATTATGGTAGGCTCTTGCTTTCTTTCTTGAAGCCTTGGATATCGTTCCCGGGGTGCTTCCAACACCGCCTGCAAGGTCCATGCTGGACATTGACTGTGCCAACCCTCTGACGTCACTTCCAGGAGGTCCATATGGACCTGGTTGCTGTGTAGGCGGTCCGTAGGGACGTTGCTGCTGGTAAGGTGATTGTGAGGGGAGAGGAGCAGCTTGGCCATAAGGAGTCGATGATTGGTATGGAGAGGGTCCTGAAGGTGATAATGCCTGCCCATAGGCTGCTGGTTGTTGCTGTTGATAGGGGGTTGGGCCAGGTTGCGGATACCCAGTAGGTGGAGGAGCTACTGGAGGGTACTGTTGTTGAGATCCCGCCGAAGGAGGATTGGCACTCAGGTCGTCAGCATCCTGACCTAGAGAATGATACATAGCCATTTCTGCCATGATTGATGGTGTTCGGGTGTGTCCTAGAGAATAATATTGAAGCTAGTGGATCAGCAAGGGTAAAATACGGTAGATAGCGTACAAAGGGAGCAGAGGTCTGCTTGCTTACTTTCAAGCTTTGATTGCTTCAAGATCGCCAGTGCTGGTAGGGTTAAGGCATGGAATGGAAAGGACCTGTTGAACGACTTCGATCGATCAATGAGATGTGAGAGTAAAGTAAAAATGTAGAAACGAATTGTAGATGCCACCTTACCTGCAAAACACGTGATTTAGACCCTGCATTCCTTAGTCAGCCACCTCGGTTTTGATTCTACTATGAAACACAAATTTTATCACCCGGCCTTCTGCTCTTGCGTTCTGATAATTTTTGGTTTGTGTGACCAACTTAGCGCGCAGTTGAGAACCCCAGCGCTGAGCTTCACCCTCCCCCATCACCGCTCGACCTTACACCATACGTTTCCGTACACACAAGCCCTCTTGCAAATCCCAACCACAACCTAGAACTCCCTACCTACCTCCACCTTCACTTCTCTCTCGCCGCTCGAGTGCTCTCCAGTCCTAGAATTCAAACAAGGGTGCAGGATAACGATAGTTCCACGGTTAGGTTAAGATGGCTCAGTACAGCGCTCCCATCGACCCCCCTACAGCCAATGGATCGCAGAATGGGAAAAGAGTTGCATACGTTAGTATCCTTCGACCCCAACAGGATTGTCAAGTTCCTCGGCGCTCCAGGTAATTCCAGCTAAACACTGACATGCGAAACCTTAGTTCTATGATTGTAAGTTGTTATACCTAAATCGCTCCCTCTGGATCACCAGCGGTCGACGAGCAGTGGCAAGCAGATGTCAAGGATGGGCTTTTTATACAGAGGATTTGATTAACAAGTCTTTTGCACTATCTAGCCGACGTTGGGTAAATATACTGCCTTCATAGCCCGAGTCTCACAGCTAACTTCAGCAGGAATTACGCATACGTCGCCGGCCACCCTATGAAGCCGCACAGAATCCGGATGACCCATAGTTTAATCATGAACTACCGGCTTTACAAGAAAATGGAAATTTATGTAAAATCCCTAGATGCTTTGAAGTAATCGAGGTCACTGCTAAAACTCTGCCAATTTTGTAGCGAGCAAAACCAGCCACTAAACAAGAAATGTGTCAATTCCACACGGACGAATACATCGATTTTCTGTCGAAGGTGACGCCTGACAACATGGAACAATATTCCAAAGAGCAAGGAAAATACAATGTCGGCGACGATTGCCCAGTATTCGACGGTTTGTTTGAGTTTTGCGGCATATCCGGGGGTGGCAGTATGGAAGGTGCCGCCAGACTCAACCGTGGAAAATGCGATATTGCGATTAATTGGGCCGGCGGCCTTCATCACGCGAAAAAGAGTGAAGCTTCTGGGTTCTGCTATGTTAATGGTTAGTTTGCTTTCGGCCTGCGCCCCCAAAGCTAATACTCACATATACCAGACATTGTCCTCGGAATTATTGAACTACTCCGGTACAAACAGCGTGTTCTTTACATTGATATCGACGTTCACCACGGTGATGGCGTGGAAGAAGCTTTTTATACCACTGATCGCGTTATGACTGTATCCTTCCACAAGTACGGTGAATACTTTCCAGGTACCGGTGAACTTCGTGACATTGGTGTTGGCGCTGGAAAGTACTATGCAGTAAACTTCCCATTACGCGATGGTATTACCGATACCACATATAAGGAGGTTTTCGAACCAGTCATTGGGCACGTGATGGAGTTCTATCAGCCTGATGCTGTGGTTCTGCAGTGTGGTGCGGACAGCTTGTCAGGTGATAGACTGGGGTGCTTCAATCTAAGCATGGCGGGTCATGCAAATTGCGTTGAATATGTCAAGAAATTCAACCTTCCAACTCTTGTGGTCGGCGGTGGTGGCTATACAATGAGAAATGTCAGTAGAGCTTGGACATATGAAACCGGCATCCTTGTCAACCAGAAGGTTGGGCCAAACTTGCCCTTTAGTGACTTTTACGAGGTACGTCAAATACACTTACCATAGCCCCGCCATATGCTCATATTAATCGGTTTTTAGTACTTTGGCCCCGATTACGAGCTTGATGTCCGCCCATCAAACATGGAAAACCTCAATTCAAAGGAGTACTTGGAAAAAATAAAAATACAGGTCCTGTCCAATCTCGAACGTACTCGACATGCCCCCAGTGTCCAGACTACAGACGTTGGGAAAGGTTTGACAGAGCATCAGGAGGAGCAAGATGCAATTTTAGACGATATTGATGAGGACGGCCCGGGCATGGATGCCCGTCAAACTCAGAGGCAGTGGGATCGCGCAACAGAGAAGGAGGGAGAGCTGTACAGTGACAGTGAGGATGAAGAGATCACAAGTTCAATGGGAGTTCGGAAAACTAGCAAAAAAGGGCTGCGCAATGTTCGGGATTGGAAAGAGGGTGGTTCCGGGACAGGATCCGGAAATGCAACTCCCTTCACAGGACCTGGCGGAAGCGATAATGCAAGTGAATCCGCCGGTGGTAACACAGCTAAAGGCAGTGGAGCCACAAGCAAACGAGATGGAGAAGGTCGTGACCTCACCGAGTTCGACGAGGAACTCGAGGCATTGAGAAAAGAGACAGAAGAAGAGGTTCAACCCGACAACGACGGAGACGTAGAGATGGGAGATGATGAGCAGCCACCGCCAAGTGCCGATGCTCTAACAGATGAAGTAGCGGATGAAGAAATGACCGATGTTCCCGCACAATCTTCAACATCCTCAACAAAAGTAGACCCTATCCCCACGGCGGAATCCTTATCCCAAGCCAAGCCCGAGGCCGCAACCACTGACGACAAGATCAGAGTCGAGGCTAGCGAATTTTCCAAAGCAGAAACTCCTGCGAAGGGTTCCGGTTCCGGAGTACCTAAGCCCTCCGAGTCTTCTGTTGCAAATGCAGCTCCCGAGGGATCTAATTCTATGGCGTCTACCACTGACAGACATAGCTCAAAACCTCCTCTCGTGGCAGACGAGTCTGTATCAAGTACCGCTAAGGCTCCTGCCAACCCGGTTGAGGCTCCCGCCAAAGAAGAGAAATAAGGACTTGCGTACTTCTGGGTGACTCTATCCCCATTAAAGCTCTTTCTTCTCTCATTTCCGATACACCCAGTAAAGTCATCAGGTTAGGGGTTAATTACTTTGGACTGTACCTTTCGCCTCTGGGACAAGTGAGAGGCTTACAATGATGCCCAAAAATATGGTACAGGCCTATTATTGCCCGGATTCAACTCTTTTGAAAGGAGGAATAGTTTGCCACTTCTTTCCCCATGTGTTCTTGTCAGCCATCTCTGTGTTTTTAGTTAGCCTTTTCCCTTGGTCTGAGCGGTGGAACCTTAGTTCAAAACATGTATTCTACAAGTACAATTTCTTCAAGATTGGTAACTATCCCCTAGGGTTCAATCGTATCAAAAATTATCACTGCTCATGGAACCCACCATGTCGAACTTTGTTCCTCCCAAATGAGGCCTGTAGAATACTCAATGGATAGAAAGCACACACCCCCTCCCCAAAAAAAAGCCGTCAAATTAACGAGCGTTTTTGTTGCTCGCTCATTCAAAAAAAAAAAAAAAAATTATAACTTTATTGATTTTTTTTTTTTCTAAACCTCCATTCACAGCCCGCCCAGAAACTTAAGCTGCAATAGTAACCTCCACTTCAACACCAGCCTCGATGTTGATGATAATCTGCTTGACGACTTCGGTAGGCGCGTTCAAGCTGTAATTCCCCACCCAGTAAATTAGCCCAAATAAAATCAATCCCCTCCAAACGCCGAAACAAAGAAACAAAATGAACGAGAAATAGGAACAACCCACTCGATCAAACGCTTATGGATCCTCATCTCAAAGCAATCCCAAGTCTTCGAACCCTCGCCACAAGGCGTCTTGCGGGTGGTGACTTTAAGAACCTTGGTGGGGAGCCTAACAGGGCCTTTGACACGAAGGTTCTTGGATTTGGCGCGCTCAATCAAGTCCGTAGTAACTTCAAAAGAAAATCAAAAATCAGCAGCTACCCAGACAAAGCCCTTTCTTCAGAAACGATACCTTTCTCCAAAGACTGAACCTTGCGTGAAGTGAGAGTGATACGAATGCGGTGAGTCTTGGGCCCATCCCCGAACTCGCCCTTCTCTGGCTTGTTGTAAGACATTTTTTTTGCAAGAAGATGGCGAAAAGAACGGTGTCTCGACTGTTGAGGGATGTTCTGAATGAATTGGTGGTGGGTCGGTTGGTCGGTTTGTTTGGCGGCTGTGGGAAGCTCTTTTTCTGTTCCGCTCCGTCTACGATAGCTCCTGAGTGGGCTCGAAGGTTGAAGATTTGCGTGGAGTGAAGGGTTTTGCCCTATGCTGGGAGCTAGGACGGTTGGTCGCTTGGTGGCTTATCGATAAGGTAAGGATGATTGGATGTACGCCCAGGCAGTGGAGATGTGGGAATGATATTGTCAGCTAGTGATGGAGGGGGTTTAAAGTCGTGGGATCGCATCATGCGACATGTCCAGGTTGAAATTTGCGATATTCGAAGCCTTTCGCTCTCATATCTTCTCTAGCGGAGCAAGTAAATAGGTCTTAAGATTTCTATATTCCGCTACTGGCACTCGAATGCTCGAGTACTCGTGGCTACACCTATCCATCAACATTGCGTCACGGCCAACGGCCTCCGCTCCACAGTACTCGTACAGCAGCCTACGAGTACACAAAATCCACCCAAGACAGACAGGTTTTAACCAACAGGCTAACTTTCCTCTGTCAACGCACTTTATGGACAGCAGCGGCCAGCCAAATTCCCCAGACGAGTGATCTTCCATGAGGGAATTAAGGCTGTGTCGCCCCCCTTCATGCCCCCCATAGTTCAATTTCCTCCCCAAGCACCCCGAAACCCCTCTAGCGCGCCCGAGTCTTTGATTGCAATTCAAAACGCGTGAGAAAAAACCGTACTATTCCACAGATAAATACTGGTACGCAAGACTACTGATATCGCGCGGCAGCCTCCGATCACTATGAAAGCAAGCAAGCCGAACTCCCACCGACTCCCCTATGGTACTCGAGTAAAGTACCGTAACCAAAAAGGAAACCAAAGGAAAGAAGAAACAAAAGGTCAAACGATATACACCGCTAAATAACTGCCAGCAACTGAAAAGCCCAAACCATATCCGAACCCGTCCGTGTGATTTCCCTGCATATAGTACACTCGCATTCATTCATCCATCCATCCATTTGTTCATTTGTCCATCTGGACACTTGTTTTATGGCTCTCCTTCGCCTGACATCCCTTCCTCCCTGCAATCTGCACGGCCTCGACAAAACTCTGCCATTATACGGCAGTTTCTGACCACACCTAAAAATCTGACTCCTCCTGGAAAAACATCGTGAAAGAAATAATAGTGCCATATATCAAGAGACCACCAATAATCGACATAACCATAGCAGGCACAACGATGATACCAGAGTGTGCCAATAAAGCCGGAAGAGCTACCCCAAAGGACACCAAAATTAGCACTTGTACCACCACCGCTGCCACGCGTCCATGGTAGGAAGAGGGAGAACGTACCAATTCCCATAACAACGAAGAAACCCGTAAGGAACCTGCCAAAGTCGAGCACTCCGTTTCCGGACCCATCGATAAAATCATCAGGGCTGGAGCATCGTGCACAGACAGCGTTTGGGAGTGGCGCCAGAATATATGTTGCGACGACCAAGAGAGGGTAGTAATTTGCGTAGAGAGCCGAGGAAAGGATGACGAGGAGGAAGCCTATCGCTAGAACCTGCCATTATGTTCCGGTTAGATCCTAGAGGTATCAGATAGTTGGGAGACCGTGGCAAGTAGGAGTGAGGCGCCTACAAAGGACAGTGCGATGATGGTTTTCAAACCGGCCATGGTCGGCGAAGGTGCAGAAGTTTGAGGTGGGGATTATTGGTTCGCTTGGAGGGTTGAAGAGGAGCTGTGGCACTTGCGAAGGAAGGGGTTCTGATGGCGGTGGATGGGAGGTACTGGTCGGGATAGTTTCAAAGAGGGGCTCAAGGGGAGCTGGGGAGGAAGGGGCTGAAGGTGACGCTGGGGTGATTTCCCTGTAACTTATGCAACCAGTTGATCCGCGCCGCCAAGACCATTTGGACTGATGTCGGGCTAGACTATCCTACTGCACCGTTCACCATTCACCATCCTATGAATAACTTTGGCTGCTCGGGTGGTCGCAGTGAGCACATGTAGTCTATCATACTGTGGACGGTACTATGGCGTTAATAGGGTTAATAGAATATTGGTATCAAGCTTGATACAATTTTTCAGTAGGGGGTGCTTAATGCTCATATATTATGGGGTGAGAATAATATTCCAAATTTTTACTATGAGCTTCTCGAAAATGTGGGATAACTTTTCCTATTGCGCAGTTGGCTAGAAAACACGAGGTGAGCAACAGCAGGGAAATATCGCCACCCCCAAAAGAATATCAGAACAGTACTTGTAGTACTGTTAACGTCACCTAAAATTTCCCCCGTTTCACAACAAATTCGACTCCGTTTATTGTAGAACAAGACGCCGGATTGAAAAGAGGAAAAGTGGCAAGAAAATAGAACGACATCAAAGTAACCAGACACAGTGTATTGCCCAAACCCCTCTAGAAGAAAAAAACAAATCAGACCTAAAGTACACCAGTGACCATTTCCCCATTAGAGCAAGAGATTTTTGCTTGAGCGCAGACCCGTGAGCCAAGTAAATTCGGAAAGCAAAGAGAGAAAAAGGATGAGTTAAACAAGATACAAGTTTACAATTGGTCATCGTCTAAATCAACAGTAACTTGTTCCCCAGGTTTAAAGGCTGGAAGACCAATATATGGACACCCCGCACATCTAGAGAGCAAGAAATAGGTTAGATACCTGCGCAAATTCTGCGATATTATGAAGGGTTAAACACACCTAAATGCATCACCAAGATAGCAGCTTCCACAGGAAGAGACCTTTCCAGCCACAGTGAAGTCAACCTCTGCAAGGTCGTTGACAGTGAGCTTAACCCCAGCAGCAACCTTCTCTTTTGCAGCTGCCAACGCCTTGTCTGCAGCTTCACGCTTCGCCTTATCTTCACCTTCTAGCTCCTCACGCAACCCACAGGTGCAGTCCTTACAAGCACGTCTACGCTTTCCTGCGCTAGGCTTACACTCGGCAGCTTGAGTAAAATGTGTTAACATTCCGTAAATTGAAATGGTAAGATTAGAGGAAAAACATACGTTGGATGAGTGTGCCAAGATCACCTGTCTCCAAAAGGGTATCTTCATCGATTAGATCGTCATCGTCCTCCAAGTCATCATCGTTGAGGACAAAACCAACACCTTTGATGACGGGTGCTTCGGTGGTGGCGGCAACAGGCTCAGTCTTGGTAGTGTTGAACTCGTTCAAATCATCGGTTCTTTGTTTCCTTCTCACCTTCAATGGAACCGAGGCATTCCCGGTAAACTCTGGCCTGATCAATATGATGCTTCCGTCGACATCTTTCTCAACCATGAACCCCGCGACAAGAAACTGAAGGGAATTCCCTCTTGCGAAAGCTTCTTCTTGGCTCCTAAGTGTAGCTTTCGGAAGCATTGAGTTGAAAATAATTTGAAGGACATAAGGCTCGAGCTCTTGAGATACGGCAGTAGAGGACGGGTCGGTGAGTATAAGAACGGATGAGTAAGCGCTGATTGGAAGGTTGACGACCTTCAGCGAAAGTCTGTCCAGCATTTGGACATCCGTCGAGCTTTTGTCGAACGTAGAGAGAGATTTCTCGAGCAAGTCGGGGCGAGAAGAGACGGCAGGTGGACAGAGAATGAGAGTTTTAGAATTGGTATTTATTGTTGTGGCGAGTTCAAGGTCTGATGTGGTGTCTAAAAGGGTAGAATGTGGAGTCATTGTGACAACTGAAGAAAATTACTCGAGGGCGGTGATAATTCGTATTTCTGTATTTTGTGTTCTGGGTAGTGGTGGGTGGTGGTGAGAGGAACACCTTGAGTAGGGCGAGGAAGTCGGTGGCTCAGGGGAAGAAAAACTAGAATTATTAATCTTATCAATCACAAAAATTTCGTTTATCGGAATAGCCCCGCCATCAGATTAGCGATCACTTACCCGGCTTCCCAGCTTCAACCCCGCCTCGCAAATTTCGCCGCAAAATCGGAACGAATAGGAGACAAAAATTGACGAGGAGAAGAAGTAGGTGGCTCGGAATCTGTATGATAATAAAAATTCGGAATAAGTCCGCGAAGGAGCGAGAGAGATGTCCGTGGAAAAGCTGAAGTTGTGTTCTAAGAGCAGTTCTGTAGAGCGCCAAGAAATGCTTACCCGCCCTAACGAGCCCGCGTCAACATTCTGGTAAATGGCAAGGACAGGAGGAGCAACTCCAACATCGCATTCTCTGGCACAACTCCGCTATCCATCTACTTCCATCTCTCCTTTTAGTTTCCCTCTTTCTGAATAACTTTATCAAAATGTTCAGAAATAATTATGACAACGATTCTGTTACTTTGTGGGTTTGCACATATTTCTGACAATGTCTCGTAGCTAACATGCCCACAGCTCTCCGCAAGGCCGCATCTTCCAAGTTGAATATGCCCTCGAAGCGATAAAACAAGGTTCCGTTGCGGTAGGACTAGTCAGTAAGACACATGCCGTATTGGTTGCTCTAAAGGTACAGATAAATTTTTGATGGGAAACGGGTCAAGCAATACTAATGTACCTAATAGAGGAATGCCGAAGAGCTCGGAAGTTACCAAAAGAAAATTATTGGTACATACATTTATTTTTATCACTGACAAAGCACACATTATCTAACACCGCCATTAGGTATCGACACTCACCTCGGAGTAGCTCTGGCTGGGCTTGCACCCGATGCCAGGGTTCTCTCAAACTTCATGCGTCAGCAATCCATGTCCTCCAGACTCCTCTACAACCGCCCCGTCCCTATCTCCCGTGTCGTCAACGCTATTGCCAACAAGGCCCAGGTGAATACCCAGCATTACGGTCGCCGTCCCTACGGTGTTGGATTACTCGTTGCTGGTGTTGATGAAACTGGTCCTCATCTCTGGGAGTTTCAGCCTTCGGGGATGGTATTAGAGTATAAAGGTGCAGCAATTGGGGCTAGGTCTCAGTCAGCTAGAACATATCTGGAGAGAGCCTTTGAGGAATTTGTAGACTCAAATAGGGAAGAGTTGGTCCTCCATGGGTTAAAAGCGTTGAGGGACAGTTTGGCTCAGGACAAGGAGCTGACTACGGCAAATACCACCGTCTCTGTCGTTGGCATTGGGGAGAATTTCAAGCTTTACGACGGTGATGAGGTGGGTGAGTGGCTGGAGAAGTTAGGAAATGTCCAGAGCAGTAGAGGTGGTAGAACCGGAGAGGAGGCTGTGGAATCGATGGATACCTCTGAATAGACCAAAAAATGAAAAGGCGTTGCTTGTTCGGTGCACGGCTATTAATTGATGCCCTTTTATAAATATATATATATATAGCTATGATACCGCGCCAAATACGAAAGCGACCCCTACTAACTTTAATGGGAGATTCCGTCTATAATTTCACTTGATGAAAATTCACTCAAGGGCTTTCTAAACAGATACAGGCTTTTACATTGTACTAACGGGCAGAAAGCACCAAACTCCGGCCTTGCCATGGAATCCACTGTATCGCCAGCGACTTAAAGAAATAATTGACCACCCTCTCTACTGGCTGCTCCAGTCCAAGTCGAACCTTCCCGGAGCGGGCTTGTAACTCCTGATCTTCTCAGCAACCTCCCCAACAGATGTTACCTCCGAGATGATATCTTTGGCGTCTCCCGCAATGAATCCCTTCTCGACTGCTGCCGAGATCCACCCCAAGAGTCCATCATAATACCCATTAATGTTGAGAACGATGATTGGGCAATCGTGGATGCCAAGCTGATTCCAGGTGACGATCTCGAAGAGCTCCTCCATGGTTCCGAAACCACCGGGCAATGCAACAAAAGCATCGGCCTCCTTCCCCATCATAGCTTTACGGGTATGCATGTCCTGGACCACTGTTGTCTTTCCGAACTCCTCGACAGAAGGCACAACCACAGATTGTTCCCTGCGAATGAGAGCCTCAGGGATAATACCATGGACTTTCCCGCCCAAGGAGGCCAGAGAGGAAGCCACGGCACCCATGAGGCCAAAAGTGCCGCCGCCATAGACTAAAGACCAACCATTCTCGTAGAGGACCTCCCCGAGAGATTTGGCGGTCTCCATGAACTGAGATTCAGTCCCTGGGCTTGAGCCGCAGCTGTGGCCACGTTAGTCATTTAGCTCTGGGAGGGGGGTCTTAGAGTTATGACTCAGGAGAAAACTTACAAGACGCAAACCGCAAATTGCTTGTCGGTCTTGTTATCAGACATGTTGAATTGGGTTTGATTTGATTCGTTGAGTGGGAGGGAGGGAGAGAATCTCAGTTCTATGAAAATCGCGAGCGGGAGTGGAAAGTGGATGTGGGAGTGGAATGAAATGAAGAGATGTCCGTAGCTTTTAAATACCGGTAAGCTTGCCCTTGTCCTGACCCGTCAGGGGACCATAATAAAGGGGTTGAGTGATTTTTTTTTTTTCCCTTTTTTTTCCTCCTTCTTCTCTTTGCTGGATCCAATATATGGGTTGAGGTAGAGGACCGGAGCTCAACCGTTATACTTGGCCATTTATCAGGTGTCCGGACACATTGACGTTAATTAATGCCTGTACCGTAGAATCTCAAATAATTGGACCTTGCGCCAGGTCGTCCAAAATTTCCTTCTTTGGACAACGGGTGGGGAGATCTGCAATGGCACAAAAAAAAAAAAAGTACCAGACCTTACTGGAAGAAGCAACCCGAACGACATATCAATTATTTGAGATTTCACGCTAGTGTCCCAGTATTTTTTTCTAAATCGCCAAGTAACTTATTGGCCACGATACCAAGGGTCAAAGCACGAGACAAGTTAAGGCTGGGCGGAGCCACCAACAATAGAACAAACCAAAAACACCATCACCACTCAGAGGTCCGAACTGGGGATATGCCAGTTTCGAACTACATCCTAAGAAGGTGGAAAATTCGATTCATGAAAGGAACGAAAATCAGCCCGTGGGAGAGGTGTGAGAGAGTGGAAACTTGTCCTTGAAATGCCGGTACGGTAGAGGTACTGTAAGACCGAGTCAAAGTGGGAGACACTATGATACTTGCACAGTCTCCAGCGGAGGCACGACGAAAACCAAAGAGTGACGAACAGGGGTATTCGTTGGGCAAAAGAGTGAATCAGTCAAACTAGTAGTGCAATAAGGTAAATGGGAAAATACCTTTCAAGTTACAAGGGTCAGGAAAAAAAAAAAAAGGTAGTGCTTGTACGGAGCGGAGTCTTGATGTCAATCTTGGTCAGAATTAGTGGTATCATACAGCAAAGCTGAATAGTATGGTTAGTATAATATATTTGATTAAGCACAACCAGCTCATCTGGAAACGCGAGCTCCCCCAATGCCCGACAGGAGCCTGGAAAACGGTATTCTTTTGACAGTAGATCGAAGTTTGTGTACCTCGCCGATCAATTATATTCATGAGAAGTTGACAGGGGCAAAGGGAAACACAGGTGGAGATCCCTTCCATGGTCATGTTTCCTGGGTGGACCACAGCTACTAAACTCAGGCATGCTCCCTATCACTTTTTACCGCCCGGCCCTTGTACCGGTCCCTACTTACTTGTGCAGTATCATACCATATGCCAGTTTTCCGCTTGCCCCTGTTGTGAGGACCACGCAGGGTGTTCAGGGTGTGGTGTCTAAGTGAGACGAGCTCCTCCCCATCGGCCCCTGGGTCGCTCGGCCAGTAAGAGACAGCAGAATATCATGGAGCTTCTAGAGCCCGAATTATTTCCATAGTTACACTCACCAAATTTTGATCCCCTTGGTACAAGGTTTTGATCCCCTTGTGTCCGGATACCCCATACCGGATGCTTGCGCCTATCATACCGCAACAAACCCGTGCTGTCTGCTTCCCCATTTATTATATCACACCATACTGATATGCACCATGCTTAGACACAGTTTGCTCTGCGTGGCTGTTGTGCCGGCATGTACTTACTGACACCTTCCGGCCTCCCTTTTGGAGCCGTGTTCTGATGGGAGTTTTTGGGTTGATTTAGGTAACGTGGAATCCCGAGTAACATATCATATGTCGTGGAGTCGCCTCCTCCTCCTCGGCAAGGCCTAGGGCTTTTTTCATAAATTTTTTTTTTTTTTTTGAAAAACCCCAATAGGGATCGGCAATCCAAGGACCCGGGGCATGTCGAAGGAGAAAAGAGAAAAGTATACGAGTAAGGGGAGTAGAATCCAGTGAAGCCAATGACAAACCCTTAAAACTGTATCCTCCTTTTCTCACTTGCACTCTACACTTTTAATTCGCTTTCTGTTGACCCTACGTGGTTTTTTTTTTTGTTAAATCCGCGGTTTATTTGTAGCTAACTACGGGAAAATCCATGGCAAGCACCCTAAGGTATGGCCTGAAAACCTCCTTAACATAACAAAAGAAACTTCACTCACCCCCAAAACAAACAAATAAACGATAAAAAATCACTAAACAAGTCCCGTCACAAATGAAAATCATTACATATCATCATGATGCCAAATCAGCACTCCTCATAAATGGAAAAACCCCCATCTTCACCAGAAAGTTAATCCTATTCTCCATCACATAAGAGAGAAAATCTCCAATCGGTTTCTTGCCTGCCTTACCCCCCTTCCACAGCTCTGACTCTGGACCCACGTCAAAAACCTGAGGGGGGATATTTCTTCTCGACTCGGCAAGAGCTGAGCATTGCACAACATGGTCAAAAGTCTCCAGTCATTTGAGGCACCTCTCACAGGTTGTGTCCCAGCCCTGATTAGACCAGTCTGTTTGAGCCATGAGGTAACTTTTGTTCGCCCGCATTTGATGAACTCTGGAGGCCTTAAACTTAGGGAGGGTCATAAAATACCAGCATTCCCTAAACGGAGGCCTATACTTGTAGTAAGGTGGGAATTGCCATTCTACCCACTTTTTATATGTCTCGTTCCTAACTCTCTCCCTGGCTTTGAAATGAGTCTCGGCCTGGGTAGGAGTAATCAAAAGGAGTCTTGAAGGTCACATTAGTGTGGTACCATCCCCTAGCACCGTTGATGCCACGGCGGCTACCTCATCAATCAGAAGTCGTACCTGTACTGTTGTTGTGGCTGTTGAACCCCATGTCTTCAGTCTCATACTGCCCTTATTGTTATCAAATGCTAACCTCCGGTTTGTAGGGAACCTAAAGTCCCTAGCTGTCAGGAATGACAATGGAAGCATTGCCATAGCGATGTTATTCTCTGAAATGGTGGAGACAATTCGCACTGCCATTATCTTCTTTAATTGTTCCACGTACAACGAAATTGGGGCCAGGCAGGCTTCCGCCGATAGCACCGTTAGATTAGTAGCGTAGAAAGCATTCGTAATCCAATGGAGGACGCGATTCCAAAAGGTTTACATCTTCCCCATCATCGTCTTTGAGAGTGTCAGCATCTCTGCTCCATACAGGAGTGTGGGCAACAGAATTCCTTTCACCAGCCTTTGGATCCTGTAGGGAGACAACCCCATGCCCGGTCCTGACAGTTTCTGTATTCTCCAAAAGGCTTCCTGTGTTAGGGATAACCTCTTAGTAAAGTATGTGCTCATTTCCCTATTGTCCGCTAACCAAAAACCCAGCTACCGCAAAGTTCCATTGGCCAGCTCAACCCAATGGGAATCTATCGTAACCACTGCCGTAGATCTGGGACCTTTCTCCCTCCTCTTGTGCCAGTGCATAAGTTCTGTTTTCACTATGCTGAAGGACAGCCCCAAGCTGTGAGCACATTAGTTGATCCGCTGGACCTTAGCTGTTAGAAATACCAGAGCCCAATACCTAGGAACCACCCTAAGTAGGGTAACCCCACTTGGAATCGGAATCTCTGGTCTCCAACACCCCCCTCCAGCTCCCTTCTGGGGCCCGTGTGTCATCATATATATCAATCTCAGTTGCGTCCTGTGACTATATTACCACAGAATTGAAGGTCTTAGAATAACACCATATACGTTGCCGCTGTCCGTCCGACCGGATCCTGTTCGCAGGTTATATGAGAGGGGACCTTTGGCTAGGTCTGAGAAGTGGAACGGAGTGATTCCGTCAACTACTCAGAGACTTACTTGGCTTCAAAAATATGACATCTTTGACATGGGCCGTAGGTAACAGGACCTTTTCGCACAAAGAGATAGTATCAAATGGTAAAGGATCTCTGCTAGAGACCAATACATTTACATACACCAGAAGAGTCTAGAACTCCAAAAGACACTACCAAAGAAGTCAATGAACTTCACGGAGTGTTGCAACTGGGTTTCGGAACACATCGTAATCATGGGGTGATTCTCAATACTACAATGGTTACTGAAACCTACTACCCAGAGAGCAACCAAGGGTTGCTGACCGAGGGATTAATTACCAATCTGGTGGAATAGCTTCCTGCGAGTTAATAGGAAGTCATCCAGAGAAAATCTATCAGTTGGGTAGGGAGTTACAACGGATCAGAGTCAGATGACCTACGATGGTTGTAATGACGACCACCTTTGCAGATATAGCCATGGATAAAACTGATCATTTTATCAATGCTGAAGACAACTGGAGCCAACTCAGTTCAACTTAAGAACTAAGCCATAAGTCTAAAGACTCTGCTAATCGAGATATTACTATTGGAGACAGTACGTTTTCTAAGAAGAAATATCGTAATTACCAAAGAGGATGTGATGGTTTTCAGGGTCCACAGGTGTTCGCACCTTGGAAGAAAACTCGATGTTGTAAATTACGATTAAAGAAGTACATAGTTGTATGATAAATAGATGTAGTCCGTGAACACTCAGATGTGGAATATAAATATCGAAGTGCCTCCCAAGCTTTAGACATCATCAAGCAATGGAGAAGAGACCTTAACAATATAATATTGTTTTTATGATTCTACCCTACTTTACCTACTTTACTTCACTCCTAGTAGTCATAAACGAAATGAGCCAAGTCCGAGCCTTCCTAGACAATCTCCGTCTACAAAAACGAATCTCAATTGGCCTGGACAATCTTGAAGTCTACCAAGTTGTCTCCGCCTAACATTAGCCTCCAGTAGTCGCGCGTTCCGCTCCCAAGAAGTTGAAGCCACCGTTATCTGGAAGTCATCAACATACGATGTAGTGAAGGTCTCTGTGGGGTCATCTGACAAGTGAAGAGGTTTCACATAGATGACGAACAGGAGCGGGAATAGCGGAGAGCCTTGCAGAATTCCATTGTTCACCTCATGGGTGCATCTTGGGCTTCCCGGGTAGGCCAATCTTATATTTCTCGTGGCAATGAAATTTCTGATCCAGTTGGTCAAATAGCCAGTGACTGAAAGGTTCTCAGTCTTGACCCTTCATGGTATTACCATGATACTTGTACAGTATATATCGCCCAGGGCAACGTACCCAGTTTAAGGCATCCAGTTGCATACCGTACCAGCAACGGCAGTTGAGCTTTCCAGACAACCACCCAAGTAGAGAGTACTGTGAGAGACCTCTTCCCTCCAGCATTCTTTCGTGGGGATTTGACGATCTTGGTAACTTGTCTCCCTAAAAAGGCGACTTGTAGGAAGAAGCTTGAGGCCAATCAGGACACTTTCAAGAGGTTCGCTCATCTGTGAACATGTAGGAGTCATGACAAAATGCCCGGTAGGAAGAACAAAGGTGCTCTCTCTCCCATGAAAGAAAACCTACAACTGTCCTTGCTCCTGGGTGGAATTTCTTCCCCGCTTAAACAATAATCAGGTAAACACAGAGGTCTCTAATTTTCTCCACCACGCAACTACCCACGCAATCCTTCCAAAAAAGACGAAAAGTCTACAAAGCCATCTAGCTTGGGAAGGAATAGCAGCTACTAAATGCGGTATTGTGGGATCTGTCAAACCTCGTTAACTGGTGCAAGGTTGTGCTTAATCCCGCCAGCTACATTGCACAAGTCTTAGTTACAGAGATTGGCAGTGGCCGGACAACGAATCTTACCAGATTCCTCGGTATTTGAAATTCTACGGCATTGTACGAGTACCAAGACCAGGGCTCACCCGCTGCCCATTGTAGAATAGCCACAACCTAGACTAAGTCATGACATAAGTTAAAGGCCGAAAGCATGCGCATCCCAACCCTGTCCAATGTCCTCTAATCCCATGATACTCGCACGAGTACAGTCCCTCCGGTATGGAACCAACAGCACATCCTCCCTCAAAACAAGAGAGGCGGGCACCATCAGTAGACACCAAAACGAGACAAAAGAAAGTGTAACAACAAAATTTAATAATCCCAATTTCCCCACCAGCCCAACCTCGGCAGAGCAAGAGGGTTCACCGATCGACCCTTATTCTCGTTTGAAAGGGCCAAGAAACCTTCACAGCAGTAACAAGACGCAACCTGGGTGTGCCGGCCCCTGGGAGGGGATTGCAAATTGACAACTAGCCGGACAGGGGTGTACTGTACCGGAAATGATGCAATGCTTGCAATACCTGCACCAGCAACTCATTGCTACGGACTCAACAAGTAGCTGATGGAAGTAATACATGCGGACCGCCCCTATTGAAAGGAGCGACAACCTGGTAATACCTTGCTTCATAGTTGTCTAGGCGAGGCGCCGCTATGGAAGAACATGAGGTTAGCAGTCAGGTGCCAGCCATTGGTGTTTTCGTGTTCTGCAACTTTCCACCATAAGGACTGTTGTCTTCGGGTACAGGAGGCAGCAGTCTTACTAAAACCTACGATGAAGCTAGTATCAAAAGCCTGTGGAGCTCCGAGGTTCGGCTCAGGGGGATCGTGAGAGTAGGTTTGGTGTTTTACCCCACAACCACCTTCCTAACCTGAAGGGTGAAAAGCGGGGTCCGGGGAGTTGAGGGGAAGGAGCATGGTGCCGTGGTATCATAGGCAAAATTGAGACATAATACGGCAAGGAGAGGTATTTCCTCATTGGTATTCTCTATAGCGCTAGGTTCTATTGATGAGCTTCATCGGAGACCCGGCCGGTGAGCTTTCGCCGACCTCCTCAGGATCCTGGTGCAGGAAAGCTGTAGCATACCAGTAAGGGGTGGAAAGATATAGCTATTTTCCAATCGACAGGGCCCACTTAGTCTCTACACTACCGAGACCCTCTAAAACATTGTTCTTAGACAGGACCGGAGATCGTGATACGGCGACTTACAGCCGAATCACTTGGGCGAAGCGACTAACCACCGAAGGCCGTGCAATAATAATGTCACAGAAATGGCTGCTAAACACAGCTGCCTTTCCTGTTAAGTGATCACTATTTCCTATTTTCCTAGCCTATCCTATTGAAATATCAGGTTTCGCAATCGGCACAAATAGCACACCCATTGAACTCCCAAGCCCCAGAGCAGCAAAACTAAGACACGTTACTGAATTAACGAACCGAAATCACTAGTATTCCAGTAACATACCGGTGCTATGCTGGTATCCCTCTCTCATCTCCCTGTCCACACCAGATCCCCGCTCATGAAGCCGCCTCTGCCCAGCCCAGTGGTACCGCCTCCCATCCCACCACCGCCTCCGCCTCCCCCTCCAGATTTAGGCCTCTTGGAGACCTTACCAGAATCCCCCACGGCCTTGACGATTCGTGCAAGATCTGTTTCCACAACACATCCACCTGTAATCATTTCCTCCAACGTCGCATGTAATGTCTCGAAGTTGAAGATCAAGTCTAGTTCGCAAACATTCTCAAAAAGTTGATCAAGAGCTTGGACAAAGACCTGAATGAGGTCTAGTAAGCCCAGAGGTGACTCCAGGGAATCGGATATTATGATAAAGTATAGAGTAGCATAGTGTCGGTAAAGGAGAGTGGTAGGTTCATCAGTCGTTGAGGTATTCCATGAAGTCGAAGATGAGGAGCCGGCAAGAAGAGGAGGAAGACTATGAACTAGTTAGTCTGATAAGACAAACCTAGAGCCTTGTCAGAGCTTACGGCAGGAAATTGCAAGCACCAGGGGGCCGGTTTGACACAAGAGAGAAGATCTGGGACAGGAGCCGCTGTTGAAGTGAGACGTCCTGGAAACTTGTATTAGTCTTTGGAGCTCAAGAGGCAGTTAGAGTAAACAAACTATCTGCGAATAAAACTTTGTCAGTCGCGGTTGGCCGTTGTTGTTAAAGACCAGCACTGCGTTGATCATCGCTGCGGAGCTGCTCCGGTAGCTATGAGGTGCTGAGGTCTGATGCAAAAGAAGCACTACGGATTGGATCTTATCAGATCCCCCAGATTGTCTTTGGCGGTTCGATACGGTATCTCAGGCAAAAAATGATTTTTTAGAGTAAGGACAATAAATTCCATTTTGGCCTTGATTAACATACGTTCATTTTTAGGCTCGGGAAATGTAAATATAACATCCTTGGTCTCATGCAGCCATGCTCGAGTATTTGTTGGTGACTTAGGGCAATGCACAAGCAGTCCCATGAAACCCTAGCGTGACCCCACTGAACACAACATCACAGCAACCACAGAACAATCGAAATTTGATTTCCGTTCCGACCACCTACGACAACCGATTTCGAGACCTAACCAAACCGACACCGACCTAAACGCTTCGTCGACCTTTTACCCTCGAGCGAATATTTACAATGGTGAGATTGCATTTTCCTATTTTTCCTTCCTACTACGGTTGGGCTCCAGGGTTGGATTTTGGAAGAGTTGGAAATTTTGGACAAAGTGCGTCTGGCGGACGACAAGCGTGAGCGGGCGGATCGGATAGAGATATGAATACACAAGAAAGTGAGCGGCTTTACCCGGAGGATATTTAGTTTGATTGGACTTGGGATTGTGGTGGCTGGATGAAAGATATAGGTGGAAACTACAGATCAATAACCAAGACAAACATCCTTTCCAACACCATTTTCTCGCTGCACAAGATTACCGAAACTACACTCCTCCTCCGAAATACAACTCTATCTGAACCTACCGCCCTTTCTTAGGGCGCCGGTTGGAATATTTGCCCCCAGGGAGTTTTCAATGCACGGGAACGCAGATATTCAATGGTTAGATGCTGACATTGTTCGGTTTTATCTCTAGGTCAACGTCCCGAAAACCCGTAAGACCTACTGCAAGGGGAAGACTTGCAGAAAACACACCCAGCACAAGGTTACCCAGTACAAAGCCGGAAAGGTATAGAAGCTTCGAAACACTTGAGTCTTGTTGTGGTCTTCCCAGATCTTGCGCTAAATTCTTTCATCAAAAACGTTAGGCCTCTCTATTCGCTCAAGGGAAGCGTCGTTATGATCGCAAGCAGTCAGGATATGGTGGTCAGACTAAGCCTGTCTTCCACAAGAAGGCCAAAACAACAAAGAAAGTCGTCTTGAGGTTGGAGTGCACAGTTTGCAAGACGAAGGCCCAATTGGCCCTGAAGCGATGCAAACACTTCGAGCTTGGGTACGCTACTCCCGTCTGTTCTGTCTAGACGTTATTGGTACTAATTTCTTTTCCCATGCATAGTGGTGACAAGAAGACTAAAGGTGCCGCATTGGTTTTCTAAATGCAAAAAAACTTTTTTCGGTGTTACATTTTGTTTTTCTTGTCTTTGGTCTTTCTTCCCTGGGTGGTGCGTTGGTTTGGGCTGGGATTTTGCCATGGACGTATCCAATTACTAGCGGTATCATTTCGCAAAACCTGTCGGCTGGGATCGGAAATAGATGTTTAAACTTCAGTTTGCCTACCCCACGGGCAAAAAATTTGGGCCAGTCCCATCCCACACCTATCACTAAATCTCAATGAAAATTCAGAGAAATAGCAACCCTTTGTTTTCAGGTTCAATGGCGATTTTCTAGCAGTGGAGAATCACAGCTTTATACGAGTTCCTATTGAGTTTGGCCGGATCCTAGATTCCTCCACGTGTCAGTACTTGTAATAATAATGTTCTACTTACTGGTCGACGCAGGACGGTCCTGTGGCCTCGCGAAGCTGTTATACTGCTATGGGTGGACAGAATTACTGCTTGTATCTATAATTTTCTGCCGGTGGTACAGTATTCTAGATAAGTGACTGTTTGTCTATGATAGTTCACGGGTTATGGGGCTTTAGTCCAGCTAATTTGGTAAACACCGAGCATCGTTGCATAGGTGTAAAAAAATACCGAAGGTATTATGGTTTTTACCTTACGTAGAGGTAGTACTTGCGTATACGTATCCCTATAGAAGTTGATTAGTTCCATGCCATATTTTCGAGAGATTATGTTTTCGAATTATCAGAACGCGGTGTTTGGCAAATTCCAGCACCAGATACTATAGCTGGGGCTTGCAGGGAATAGTGGACACCTTCAATTACGGACATAGTCTAACGCAACTATGCCCAGCCAATCAAGCGGCTTTGATCGTCTTGAGCCCCGCTTGTTGTACCGCGGGGCGGGTTTTACGTGCAGCAAGTAGCCTCAGAACGCGAACGTGGCAAAGCTGCAATTTTTGTACTTACTCTGTTGTTTACCCCCCGTGCACTCCTTTTTCACTGCGTTCCTTTCTCCTGTGTCTACATCCGCAACCACGACCCAAAACCCAACCACAATCACTTGTCCGCAGTCTACTTAACCCTTCGCCTTTCCCGCGGCAGCTCCCTTACTTCAAGCTGGAATTACTCTCGGCGTCCAACAATCTCTTTGCTGGTTTAACTTGGTTCCGCTCAAAACAAACACCCACTCCTATCTTCTTTGTTTAGGGAGAAACAATTTGAATCTCTCGGAATGGAGAATTATCAGAAAATCGAAAAAATTGGTGAAGGTAGATTTCCTCCTTTCTCTTCCTTCGTTTAGCATTATTTCCTTGGGGATCCCTGCGTTTTTGCGACATTGCAAACCCCCTTCTCTCTGCAAGCTCTTGCGGATGAGACCCCGTCGGAACCCCCGATTAACTTGACCTTAACTAGGAACCTACGGGGTTGTTTACAAGGCCAAGGATCTCAAGAACGGTAACCGTATCGTTGCATTGAAGAAGATTCGTCTCGAAGCCGAAGATGAGGGCGTTCCGTCCACCGCCATTCGCGAAATCTCCCTTCTGAAGGAAATGTCTGACCCTAATATTGTTAAGCTCCTTAACATTGTACACGCCGATGGCCATAAGCTCTACCTGGTCTTTGAGTTTTTAGACCTTGATCTGAAAAAATATATGGAAGCAATTCCATCAGGTATGGGTTTGGGGACCGACATGATCAAGAGGTTCATGAGCCAGCTGGTCGAGGGTGTGAGATACTGTCATGCGCATAGGATCCTGCACAGGGACTTGAAGCCTCAGAACCTATTGATAGACAAAGAGGGCAACTTGAAACTGGCAGATTTCGGGTTGGCGAGAGCCTTTGGAGTGCCTTTGAGGACATATACTCATGAGGTAGGATTAATCCCCCAGAGTGGCAATTTAAGATACCCCTATAGTTGGTGGTTAGTGGCTAAAACACCTCTTTCTTTGAATCTAGGTCGTCACTCTCTGGTATCGTTCTCCGGAAATTTTGTTGGGTGGGAAGCAATATTCTACCGGCGTTGATATGTGGAGCGTGGGTTGCATCTTCGCAGAGATGTGTACCCGAAAAGCGCTCTTCCCTGGTGATTCGGAAATCGATGAAATTTTCAAGATATTCCAGTAAGGGTTTCTTTACTGCCAATTAAACCTTTTCGTCTTTCCTGGGCTAAGTTTGCTACTCATCTCATTAATAGGTTGCTTGGAACCCCAGACGAAGAGACATGGCCTGGCGTCACCAGCTTTCCGGATTTCAAACCTTCCTTCCCTCAATGGGCCAAGGTCGACACCGAAAAAATGGTCCCAGGCCTTGAAGCAGCAGGCGTCGATTTGTTAGAAGTACGTTCCCTCATATTTGGTGTGCTACACACGCCTGTCACACTCCTGATACCTTTCTAGCCGGTTTGGCAGCTGACGCATACTAAAAACACTGGTAGGCTATGCTCGTGTATGATCCTGCGGGTCGCATATCAGCCAAACAAGCTTGTCACCATGATTACTTCAACGCAGAGGACGGCACCAATTGGAACAATGGGAGGCCAAACAGCCGGTTCCAAGGCCGATGATTTTGTCCTATGTTTACATTTACTTGTCAATGGATATGATGGAACAGTCGAGATGGCATCTGATTAAAGTAACAAAACCACAAGGGTACGATTAGGCGGCCAGTGATTGAACCAACAAACTTCATTAGAAAACTCTCATTCCTTAATATTATTTTCTGGGATTTGTGTTTGCGACAATGCGTAGCCAGGCAAAACATGAACGATCAAAATTTAATGTATTGATGAGCGCATTAGAGGCGTTTTTAGTGTATCTAAAATTGCTCTTATCCAATGCCACGGGAATGTGATACCCTTACCGGACGAGTATACCCCATATCATCCTCGTGATTGTGCTAGCTAGAATCTCTAGATTTGCTCCATCGTGAGTCGTTTGTTCTTCAATCATATGATCTGAGTACTTGTATGGATTGAGGTTGTAGAATTCTGATATACCGGTATCATATGCATACAACAGTATTTTTGAACCAATAATCCCGAAGAGAAACAGACGCGAGCCTCATAATTAATAGCAACTAAAGCCTATGTCGAGGTCGAGAATGTAATAACATCGCGAGTGATAGGCGGTGTCGTGCCGTGTTCTAGAAACACCTCATTCCAACATCCCATTACTCGATTAGACTACTCATACCGCACTATACCTTATGGGGAGCCGGGAATGATGGGGTAGCGAGAACAACACCTCTCTCCGAGAAATACGGTACGATATGATACGAGTATGGTATCAAACTTAACCATGAAAAAGGCTGACTCATCCGAGGGAGGCGGCGGTGGTTCTCGCTACCATTTCACCCTATCAAGCACCGATAGTTTACTCGAGTAGACCAGTCCATCATACCTGGTAGACTACTAAGGGTATTCTAAGTTGAAAAGATGATTTCAGTAATGAGTTAAACACAGGAAGTTGCATTAGGTTACCTTATGGTGTTAGCCAATAGCATCCACACATTTTGGGTAGCATATTTGAGTGTATTGAGGTAGCTGAGGGTAAAGTATAGATATTTTCACCGATCTTACCAATACCATAAAATCTCTGTTATTGTTAAGGCAAAGTCAAAATAAAGAGTTTTATTGCTAGAGAAAGTAGAGAATTATTTTCAATGTACGCTCTAATATTTTAGAATTTTCTTTTTCATATTATGTATCAAGTCTAGGCTCTGGTAGAGTTCAGTTAAACTGAGTTTTGAGGTAGATATGGACCTCTTGACATCCATATCTACTCAAAAAAAAAGAGCAACGGTAAATTAACTGTTTCTGGGTGTGCCAAGCTTACATGAAACAGTGAAATAAGCTAAGTTTTTCAAGTTTTTCAACTTTGAATACCCTTACTAGTATGGGATTAGGATTATTGGTGCGCCAGCCGGGCCTACTCGAGTAAGGGTCGCACACTAGGGGTTTTCGAAGTTAAAAAAGATGATTTCTCAGTAATTAACGAGTAAAGAGGGAAGTTGGATTAAGTGACTTTATAATATTAGCTAATCACGTCCTCATGTTTGGGGTAGCATATTTGAATACACCAAGGCAAATGAAGGAAAAAAGTGTCAAGGCTGAGGTGGTATCGTACTTACAAACATTGTGTAAAGCCTGTTTTATTAATAAGAAGTCAACATCAAGAGATTTTCACCACAGAGTGTAGATAAATTATTTCTAGAGTCATTGACAATATTTTAGGAATTTTGTCAATTTTGTCAATTTTATTTTTGCTTCATGTATTGTTTCTGGCTCTTGGTAAGGTTCGGTTAAATAGAGTCCTGTAGCCATGTCCGACCTCCAGACTTCCATCTCTATCATACCAGAAAAAAAAGTACTGTATGGTAAGGTAAAGTAATGGTAAATGAACTGTTTCTGGGTGTGCCGGGTTTACATGAAACAACAAAGTATCATAAGCTAAGTTTTTTCTATAATGCCTTTTTAACTATGAAAACCCCTACAGTACTACAAAGTAGACTACGGCATTTCTTTGGCAGAATTGTGGTTACGGTGTACGATACCCCAAGTACCCTACCAGGGCAAAACCCCTTCCGAACACAACAGTCCCAATCCACACAACGACAACGTCACTCCAGAAATTTCCCTAGCTCTCAACCACACAGTATTCACCATCTACAAACACAACGAACCTACCGCCCACCGCGATCCGATAACACACCTGACTCACCTCTCCGTGGGCAGATTGAGAAGTTGCAATCATGTACCTCATTCTCTCTGGATTGATTGTTTTTCGAAACTAGAGAGGAAAATAGCTAATCGCGGGGTACATAGGCTTATTCCTAAGGCCGACCGTAAGAAGATCCATGAGCACATCTTCCGCGGTAAACTCTCACATCTTCCCGGCTAGCCATCCAACGAGATTTGCTGATTGTTCGTTTCTAGAGGGAGTTCTCGTCGCAAAGAAGGACTTCAACCTTCCCAAGCATACCGACATTGACACCAAAAACCTCTATGTTCGTAGTTTATTCAACAACCTCTCCTCGACCCACTTCCGGTATACCAGCATAACTAACGGGTCTCATCGTTTGCGTCGTTATAGGTCATCAAGGCTTGCCAGTCTCTCACCTCTCGTGGATACCTTAAGACCCAGTTCTCTTGGCAATACTACTACTACACCTTGACCCCCGAGGGTCTTGACTACCTTCGCGAATGGCTCCATCTCCCCGCGGAGATTGTTCCAGCCACTCACGTTAAGCAGAACCGCAGCCATGCACCCCCCAGGGGAATGTTGAGCGGTGATGGTGACAGAAGGCCAGGTGGTGGGCGTGGTGGTGAGAGGGGTGACAGGGAGGGCGGGTATAGAAGAAGATTCGGAGACAAGGATGGTGGTAAAGACACTCAAACTGGCGAATTCCAACCTCAATTGTATGTGCCTCCATCGGCTTTTCTGGGGGAAGTTGAATGGGGAAAAAAGGGAAAAGGTGCTAACATGTGTGCTTCTAGCCGTGGCGGATTCGGTCGTGGACGTGGTGCTCCTCCTGCGGGACAGTAAATGTTCCCGGAGGTGTTTCTTTTCCTTTTTTCCATTGTTAGCTCTTCTTCCTTATCTTAACCGGTTTTCCCGTATGTCACGAAAATTAAAATCTTGACAAATCATTCACACAATTTAGAAGTTCGCACCATACTAGAAGAAGAAAATACCGCCAATCGTCGGAAGAAGGGGGAAAGCTAGAGGTAGAATATGGAAGGGGGGGGGCTAAACAAATAAAGTACTCAAAAAGCGTTTTTCATTCATTCTCCCTTTCACCAGTTCTACCCATATCGCGCTGTAGTTTTTCAGGGAGCTATGGCCTTCCGTTTCCCAGACTTCTTCTCCTTGTTGGGCCGGGTCGGCGATACAAGGATAAATAAACTTTATTGAACTCTTCCGAAAAGTAACACGAGTGATCTTTTACGATGAAGGTCCGAAAGCGGTGCCCTGGATGCCTCTTTGGGGCACGTTAGGATCCTTTTTTTGATCCTCCTGAGCAAACAACAAGTTCCTCCAGGGGCTACGCACCATGACCTGGCGCATCGCTGCCGCCCATCACCTCGGTGCATCACTGCCGCCCAACACCCCGGCGCATCACAGTAGGTACTAAATCGCCCATTATTCTGTGTTAAGGGCACTCTACATACAATACGTATTTTAACTATAACTCTTTGAGAGATCCCTGTGCACAGATTTGCAACCTAGTGTAACGATCCCTCTCTGGATAGTTAATGCTTGGCGACGGGAAACGATACTTCTCTTCCTGTCTTCTTCTTCCTTTGTCTTACGATAGCTCTAGGCCTCTGCCTACGTTACCGATAGTACAAGACCCTGGTCTTCTACCGGGAACGCCTATCGTAAGCTTTCTCTAACTCTTCTTCGTAAAGCGCCTTCCTTGGCGTAACGATGACGTTGCAATAAAGATAAAGATCGTAAAGGTATTTTATATTCGTTAAAGTAATATGTAGGAAAAGTACTTAGAACAAAGCGTGAAGAACCTATCTTCCTCTACCGCATCGGCCTCCTTATATAGTGTTCTTCCCGCCTTTAGTCATGTGACCTAAAGTGGTCACATGTGCGAAACTAAATCATAACAAACTAGTCATATGACCAAAGTGATCACATGCTCAAAACCCATGACCTCATAGCGAGGTCATGTGCAAAACTCATAAACCAATCATAACGCAATAAACAAGTCATATGACTCGACTGAGTCATATGCACGAAACCCATGACATCATAATGAGGTCATGTGTGAAACATAAATCATATGCGCAAGGCTTACCCATAAGGCACACTCGTAAGGCATACTCGTCAGGTGTATGTCCCATGACTCATACTTGAGCCACATGCGAAAGCATCACAAATCCCACACATAACAAATCATATAACCTGAATAGGTCATATACGTAAAACAATAACATACCTGTGACTCATAACCATGTGTCAAGTGAAAACCCTTTCCTCGCAAAGCCACGTTCATGACATTAGCTCCCCTCCTCCTAAGCCTGAGTCCCATCAGGCTTTTTCTCCCAGTTTCAATAATTCCCGTCCTGCTGAGCGCAGGGTCCTTCTCAGCTTGTGGAACTTTTCGTCTGCCATCCTCCATCTGACCCTTACTGATTCTAGGGTCAGATTCGCCATCTCAATCGTGTGCCGCTGATTGTCGTTCAGCTGTCTCAGCTCCACGATCGTTTTGTCGTTTGCCGAAATTGTGGCCTCAGCTTGGCCCAATTGTTCTCGGAGTCCCCGGATCTGCCTGTGTAGGCTCCTGACATCTGGTTCCGTGTCTGCTGAGGAATTTTGGGCCCCTCCCTCCTTGGACAGCGTCCTCGCGGCCCATGCCTTTCTGGCATCTTCTCCTTCTAACTCTTTTCGGCTTCCATCCTTCTGCGGGTACAATTCCGCAGATATTTTTTGTGCCCTGTTCATCCTGCACCCATTTCTGAAACATTGTTGCCAATGCTTCAGGACGTGGTCTGGGCGTGGGCCACGCTTTCGACATTCCTTCGGGAACCATCCCGAGCCTTCTTTGTTGCCAAAGTGTGTTTGGCAACCGTCATCGTAGCATACCGTCCTTGACATGGCGTTATGCTGTGCTTGTCTTTCCCTTTCCTTGAGTTCTTCGTCGGTTGGCCCCATGAATGAGTATTATGGGCTGGTGGGTGTGGTTTGGCGGGGGCTATCCCCCCAGTCGTCGTGTTGCTGCAACGGTGCAGGTGTCTTTCCCTCTCCTTTGTCTTGGTTGAACGTGATCGTTACCAGGGCCGGGCTTGCCTGGGTATCGTTGGTGGAAGGTTGAGATGGCATCTTGTACGTTTTCGAAGTTGTGTGTGAAGTACCAAGTTTTATCGTGTTCAGGAGAATATCCTGTCCACTTGGCTCGGTATTGGAGGTGACCGTGGAAGAAGTGGGAATCAACTATTTCGTCGAGCTCGTATTCTGGTTCTCTGTCGAGTTCGATCGGAGGGGGAGGAATAAGTGTTTGTGAAGGAAACTTATTGTCGTTGTGTAATTCGAGGAGTGAGATGTGGAATGTATTGTGTATTCGCATTGAGGGGGGAAGGTCGAGTTTATAAGCTCGGCTGTCCACCTTTTCCAGTATCCTGAATGGTCCTATTTTCTTGTAGTCCAATTTCTTTGATGGTCGCGTTGTATGAATATTGCGTGGTGTTAGCCATACCATATCTCCTGGTCGTATGTTCAGATCTGGTCTTTGGTGCTTATCGTATTGTTCCTTCTATGGTTGTGGTGCTTGACTCATTTCGTATTGTAATGTTTCGTGTAGTTTCCCCATATCGGTTTTATCCGGTATCACATCATTAATGGTATGATATGTGGTCTGACTTGGTGGATGTTGTCCGTAATTTGCGAAGAAGGGTGTCGTGCTAATTGTTTCTTGCTTTCCATTGTTGTATGCGAATTCGGCCATAGATAACAGTTTGTACCAATCATCTTGCTGATAGTTGACAGGCCCTTAAATATTGTTCAAGTATCGCCTTTACCCGTTCCGTTTGTCCATCCATTTGTGGGTGGAACGCTGTGCTCATTCTGTTGTGTATTCCCATTTCTCCGGTTACTTTCTTCCATAGTCCCGATGTGAATAGTGTTCCTCGATCGGTAATGATATTCTTTGGGAGGCCGTGAAGTCGAAAAACCTCTCGGAAGAATGTTTGTATAAAATCCCCCGTGTTAATGTCTTTTCTAACCGGAATGAAATGACTCATTTTGGTCAGGCGATCCACCACGACCAAGATGCTATCGCAATTTTCCGATGTTGGTAGGTCCGTGATGAAATCCATAGTAATTGTTTCCCATGGTTGTTCGGGGACATTGTTTGATTTTAGTAATCCATATGGTACGTGTTTAGTTGTTTTCGTTCTCGGGCATATGTCGCAGTTTTTGACATAACGTTTGACATCTTCGCGCAGTCCTGGCCAATAGAATGACCTCGTGATCAATTCCGTGGTTTTAGCTGTTCCACCATATCCTGCCATTCGGATATCATGGTGTTGTCGTATGATGTCTGTCCTTATCTCTTCTTCTTCCGGGATCCATTGATTTCCCTCGTACCACATATTTCCGTCCTTCCATTGGTATAACCCCAGTGCAATTCCTTTCATCTCCTTTTTTCCTTCTTCCAAGGCTTCTCTTATCGCCTGGATTGTTTTGTCTTTCTCGTTTGCATTCTCAATTCCTCTTTCCTCCTTTGATGTGAATTGGATAACCTCCATTACCTCGAAGTAGGTTTTTGGTAATAGGGTCCATGTTTTTTGTTTGATTCTTTCATCTTCTTTTGTTTGTGGTTTGTTGCTTGCAATCCTTGTGAGAGCATCTGGCTTTCCACTTTCTTTGCCTGGTCGGTATTTGATTTTGAAGTTGTATTTGCTAAGGTGTTCCATCCATCTTATCTGGCGATCGTTCAGTTCTTTCGTAGTCATGAATGGCACCAGGTTCTTGTAGTCGGTTAGAACTCAGACTGGATGGTCGTTGTTCGAAACATATCTTCTCCATTCTATCAATGCTTGAACTATTGCTAATAGTTCTTTGTTTGCAACATCGTAGTTGCACTCTGCGGGGGTCATTGTCTTGGATCGATAGGACACTGACTTCCATTTTCCATCGTCGCATTGTTGCGATAGTATGCCTGAGCATACATATTTTGAGGCGTCCGTCTCGATCATTGTCCTTTGGTTTGGGTTGAAATGGACCAATATGGGTGCCAATGTTAGATGCGTTCGTATTGCATCATATGCTTTTTGTTCAGTTTCTCCCCATTCCAATTTCATGTCTTTTTTCGTTAGGTTATAGAATGGTTTTGCAAGCCTGCTAAACACCTCTATGAACCTTCGATAAAAGTTGCAGAATCCCATGAAGCATTGAACATCTGTCTTGTTGTTTGGTTTGGCCCAATCCCATATGGCTGCTGTTTTAACAGGGTCGACCTTGACCCCACTTCGATTGATGATAAATCCAAGGTATTCTGTTTCTTCCTTACGGAATTCGAATTTTGTTGGTTTGATCTTCATTCCTGATCCTTGTATTGCCGCCATGATATTGCTGATATCTTTTTGGTGTTGTTGTATGTTTTTCGAGTATATGAGTACATCATCCAAGTATACGATGCAACATATGTCGAAGTACTTATTAAGTACCTTGTTGATCCATCTCTGTAATGAAGCCGGTGCGTTGGTTAGCCCGAAGGGCATAACCAAGTATTCGAACATTCCGTATCTTGAGGCGAATGTAGTCTTCCATTCGTCTCCTGCCTTGATGAGTATATTGTGGTATCCATCTGTGATGTCGAGTTTGGTGAAGTATTTTGCTGATCGTAGTCTGTCCAGTGCTTCCCCAATCAAGGGTAGTGGATATCGGTCCTTCTTGGTAACTGAATTGAGGGCTCTGTAGTCCACGCAGAGTGTCATTTTTCCGTCTTTCTTTTTGACGAATAGTATTGCGGATCCTCCTGACGCGAAAGAGTCTTGGATCCATACTCTCTTTAGGTTTTGCTCGATGTACTTCCTAAGTTCTTTGAGCTCTGCTTCCCCTAGGGGGTATAACCTCTTAGAGGGAATCTCTTTTGTCTTTTCCATTTTTTCGTCTTTGTCCAGCTGAATTTCGTGGTCGATTCCTTGTCTTCGAGGTGGTAGCTCCGTAGCTCCCTCTTCTTGGAATCGATTTGTGAATTGGTGATATTCTTTTGAAACCAATTCTTTCCATCGTTTTTTGCTTTAGTATTTCTTGTCCTGGATTCCTA